CGAGTATTAAATATTATGTTTAAATTAAAATATTGTTAAATAATTGTACCCTGAAATGCTTCGCTGGAGCTCATTGTGGTTGCATTGATGACAAATGAAGAACACCACTGACATGAAAATAAATAAAAACAATCCTTGAAGCGGGCTGCTGAAAATTTGGGCTCAATCGGTGTAGAACTTTTTTAGTTTTTGAAGCGTACAAAAACCAACTTAACATTTATGTATATATTTATATATGTAGATATAAATATCTCAATATCTCAAATCTAACTGCTCCGTCCCATAGTGTTGTGTTGTGGCAATGTAGTCTTTGACTATCAAGCCATGTTGACGAAATAGTGATTGTACAAGCGTAACTACGAACTAGTAACTATTAGAGCATCAAACTGATTAGTGTATTGAGTATAGCGATATAGTACATATCATACAACTTAGTAACAACATATTCACTTTATTCAGTCTTGAAAAGGCATGCTGCATAGCAACATCTTTGCAAATACACGATTAAATAATAAAACATGAATTAATGACGAATTCATAAAGCATTATCTTAAGTAACTGAGACGCAGCACAAGATACTTTATACTTATCACAATAATAATGCATTTTGATTAATTTATAAACAAAATGTTATCTGTTTCGCCTCTATTGACACAAAACTGTTATCAACTGCAACATTGATTGCACTTTATGAAGCAACTTATCTTGATAACTTTATTGTAATAGGATATGTTTATAGGACGTTTTGGTTCATACATTTGATCTCTTTTACATATAAAAGAGATCAAAAATAGGTACTCAGGAAGTCATAACTTTGAGTCTCACCTGCGCCTGCGCTAACTGTTGACAATTTTAGATAAAGAGCCGGCTAAGGGTCTCGCCAGTTTAAAGTTCAGTAGGTAGATATTATCAACTATTTTAAACAAAAACACAAACAGAAAATATGACTGACTAGGAAACTTACTGAGTCATAGTGATCAGTTGATAATTATTCTATAAGATTCTATTAAGCATAGTTTTATTACAAAGATCCATGACTTTCCAAATCAAAATCCAAATCAGAGTGATCGAATTTTAATTTTGTTAAGAACTTGAAAAAATGGTTCAATGTCAAGAAGAACCTATATTTACCTGAGATAAATGATAAATTCTTTAAATATCTTTTATGCTTTCGAATAGCTAAGATTAGATTTCAAATATCGGATTAAGTGTAAAGAATTTGATGAGGAATAAAATCACGTACAATGATGAACAAAATACAAGAATTGGCCAATACAAACATTATGCAAATTTAGGTAAAGTTGAAAGTTGAATTTTACAAACAGTGTAAAATTGAGACCTCAAAAGCTCACAAGTGCTTAGACTTGCGTGCGTACATAAACATAATATATGTAGAGAAAGCAACGTAAATGAAGGATTTAGAATACATGTATCTTATTTCATGAATAGCAGCATAAATATAGAAAGATAATGTGTAAAATTAAGTTTACAGAAACAGGGAAACGAAATTTTTGGACTATCTAATTCAAAGATTCCCTGTTAAAATTAGTTCTAACGTTAACGTTAGTAAGAGTTCCTGAAGTTGAAGACGTGCAGCTATATTTAGTGTGTTGTCGTGATCATTAATAGATTACTTGACATTATACCTATATCATGACAGCCACCACACGAATGTCGCTATGTGGTCTTTCAGTGATTGTCACAACTCGTCATGAGCATTTTCATCAGAGCCAAAACACGAAATATAATATATCCTGAAATCATCTCCAGTATAATCTCGATAAATTATCTTTTGAAGCATAGACACAGATTTTTTTAAGATTGCAGTAGCCGTGTAGTGTAGTTTAAGAGTCTTAGTTTTTATTTTTTTGAAAAGTTAGTTAATGTCTAGATTTGTTATTGTTTTAATTATTTTAATGAGCGTTTAAAAATATTACTGGCCTAAGTAATAATTGCTATTATTATTAAATTCACCAAACAATATATCAAATTTTAAAAAAGAATTATCCACTGTGTTTTCTGACATGCAGTTTGCTGCGACTGCGTGAATACATTATTGTTTCTTAAAAATAAAATAAATATAAATAAACCGTAGAAATAAATAAATATTAACCTTGGGGTTAAACAAAATTCAAGTGCCTAAATTATACATGTACATCCTTAAGATTCATATTTCATTCATGTATACATTAAAATTTCACATTTCGGGACATCTTTACATAAAATTGTTAGTAAAATAAACGTATCTGATTCATAAGGTACTCAGAAATCTTTTTGATTGACTACACGGATGGCGTAGTGGTTCAAGCGGTCGCCACGCCGCTTACTACGAGTACTAGGCTGGGCTGAGTGTTGTGGGTCCGATCCCCACATGGGACGACACTTTGTGTGATCCACAAGTTGTTTTTCTGAGTTTCAGTGTTTCGGTGTTTCGGTGTTCTTTGTGTCCGTTTCATGTAGGTATGTTTGTGAAGTCCCCGCGACACACTATATATGTACATATGTATTTCTAATGCGGGAGTTGTGTTTTAAAATGATGATGGTGATGAAATTTATTTATGGACATTATGTGAATCATTAAAATTATTCAAATAATAATGGTTATTGTTTAGAGGCCTACCTTCCACCATATCTTAGCCATACTTCGGCACGTAGCACGGCAGACGCTTAGGCGCGACCGTTATGCTACTGCCTCACAGAAAACCGGTGCTAAAGATTTTTTTTCGATACTTTATACAGAGTGAGTAAGATTACAAGATTCCTAGTACTTTACTTCACACATGGACAGACTCTGGTAAAACAGAATTGAGTCTAAACCTGTATACTACATTGTTAAATAGACATAATATTATTTATTGCTTATTTACTGGCTCATTGTCCGATTTAAAATCCCAAATAAATTCAATACTTAAGAATAAACAAATTTAAATCGACAGTAAAGCGTAGGCTGTGTCAGAAGGCCTATTCCTCTATTGTAGATTATATGAAGACATTATTTATGTTTTCCTTTACTTTCAATTCAATTCCATCATTTTTTTTTATCTTGTTTTCTCTTTATTGCTTTCATCTTTTAGTCCTTAATAACTGACACATTGGCGCACACATACTAACAATGCACATACTAACAATGTTGTGATATCTTTAATGATGCGACTTCAACGCCTTGAAAAATCCTAAATTGTTGCTATTGTGTGTTGATCTGATGGCTTTAGATTCTAAGACGATTCCAAATATATTTGTATATTTTTATGAAATAAAGATATTTTGAGTTCGAGTATTCTATTCATGAATGTCGTTAAATAAGATACCTAAAGCTGCCTTGACTGACAGATGTTAATCAGATGGGGTTTCATAGAGTTAAAAAAACATGCAGATCCACTAATTACGGATTTCTTAACATAGCTTGCGTGTTCCTGCAGGTGTCACGCACAATCCAGTAAAGGTATAATGTTGTTTAAAGTTTAAATTGTAGCAACACCGCTTTTAACTTCTGTTACTATTAAGCAGAACCGTGGAAAATCCTCCGTGCTCTCCGATTTACCAGAGCAGTCTGAAATTAACTTGTCTACTACAACACTAGAAGCTAATGACTGCAGGCTATACATCTTATCTTTCCAAGTATAATTAGAACTATTTAAAACAAACTAAAACAAATATTTTATGTGTAAAACATAAAATACAGGCATAATATATAGATTTGAAAAACTATTTCATTTTCTGTACTCGGGTTAATAAGAGACTAACATTTTGGGAAAAAAACCAATGCGATCAAAACCATGCTTCAAACGCAAATTAGATTAAATAAGGTTGAGATCTCTCGATAGCATTCCCACTGCAAAATTGCGATCATTTTAACTAATTCACAAAACATGAATTTTATATTTTAGTTTGCAACCAAGAAAATAAAGTATAAACTTTTTTTGGGTTTAAAGGAATTTGTATTTTTTTTTCCATAATTTGCACTTTGATCGCGCCTTAACTTCTTGCATGTTATTTTAATTTAAAGAACAAATTGCTGTCTGGCAGTTTGTTCATTGTCTTTACCTTTATTAAATGTTGGCAGTAATGCACGCGATTACCTATAAGTACAATTTCAAGAGATAATTGGTCACTCTTGAAGGACATTCATTTCTAGTCTAGTCTGGTGCTCTTATCGCATTTTGTGCATTAAGTCGTAGATAAAAAAAAGTCATCATTAAAGCCATAATAGAAACTAATAAAACGAAAACAAATTTATTTTACTAAGATCTTATTGCGATGTAGTGTTTGCATAGGCCTCAAAGAAAATATTAAAGAAACGATTGATACATGTTCTAAACACTTAATTTATTATTTAATACCTTGATTTTTTACTATAGGATTGGTATTTATTGTATTGCAAGTAGATAATATACATAAATTACGATTATTCAATAAATATTAATGACGTAATTACAAGTAGCAGTAGTGAGTTGGTTTATAACGAGCGGAAGACATGCACATTACCTACTTAGTGATGTATGATGTTTGACAACATATTTGTCCATGCTGTTGATTTATTATATATTTTATTCGTACTATAGATTTCAAATTGGACTTTTTCTTTACTTATGATCTGTATAAAACGAAATTAAAGATAGAGAAATGATACGTTTCTATGCTTCGAGAAAAATCAACTCAGCATTTTTATACTACGACTAATCCCTAACATCGAGAAGACATGAAAAGACAGTTTTACCACCTACACACAAGTAAGTACAAGGTGGTTTAATTATCACAGTGTATAACTAAACAATGATCTCTGGCAGAGTTTGGGAAGAATCGTGTCTAGCGCAAGAGTCTTCATTTTGGTCATAACATTTTTCTAACACTGTATTAGTAAAACTTTTAAGTGTAACGTGCACACCCATATTACTTTTTATGGTGTGTATGTACACCAAAATCAATTTTCTTGCAGTACTCTACAACACACACGCAGTTTCTAATTACGGAACCAATTTCTTAGTATATCACTGTAAAAACTAACCAGGTTGTTGCGGTGGTAGCAGCGGCGGCATTAGAGGCTGAGGCGGCGCAGACGTCGGCGGCGCTGCATACGGAGAGACTCCTGGAGATCCAGGCACAGAGTCGCAGCTCGGTGAGCCTAACGAACGCGACGGGGCGGGCGGTATCACCGGGCTCCGTGGCGCCTTCACTTGCGGCAGATCGGGATGGTCCAACTCAACACCTGGTGGCTGTAATCCGGTCACTCGAGCACGCGCGCGCGCTTCATCCTGCGCCTGAGCACGTCTCATAGCTGTCTGTTGAGCCATCACTCGCTGCCTGTCTGCAGTAAGTCGACACTTTTCACAGAGACAGTTGCGATACTTGCAGTACCGTTTGTGGCCTTTCAGCTCAATCTTCAGCCTGTGGTTGCGGCATCGCGCGCAGTTTGGGGGCGCGCGTGGAACAGCTGAGCTGGAGGCTCCTGGTTCGGAACGCTCCTCGCAATCGTCGGGCGTGCGGCGCCTCCATGCACCCACAGACACCATGACTTGGCCCTCGTTTTCGGCCGTGTTCGCGGCGAATTCGTCGGGCGCGAAACGAACGCACACGCGGCGCGACGCGCGGTAACGATACGACTGCTTGCCCCCGCCGCCGGCACAGTCTGCCCCGCCCCGCGCACCACCCCGCCATGCTACTGCATTTATTGCTGTGCACCGATGCAATTCTCATTTCTACGTCATTTTATCATTCCATCTAAATTTGAGTAAGACGATTCGATTTTAAAGGTCTATTAACATACCACACCACTCGTTTTGATTGGCAAAACTTGAATGATTTTTTTTAACAGAAAACCTGATTATTTTAACCCTCCATGATAAACTTTGACCTTCCTGCGTCATTCCAACGTAACTTGGGAAGGTAGAGATACATAAAGTATGATTTGATAACTTCACAAAACAAGCCTTGTAAACCAGTGATTACATTACGTTACAGCATATATCAAGGTTCCAATCTCTACTCTAATCAGACTATCGTTGTATTACAAAGAGTACAAAATCTTCAAGTGCGGCTGAAATCTCGCAGCTAACAATGAAAACAAAACTCGCTTTTCCATTAGAATGTGTAATTTGAACCTTTTGTAAAATATTACTTTATACAAATTGTTGCTATGTAAAAAAACCTTCTGATTACTATATCTCACTCTGCCATGACGTAAGTCTAAGAATTTATAAATTAAATTATACACATCAACATCAACAGCCTATAACAGTCCACGTCTGGACATAGGCCTCTCCTTAGAAAGGAGGTTTTGGCCTACTATACCACGCTGGCTAGACGGGTTGATATATTGATAAACGGCTTGTTTAAAGTATTCCTTCTCTTTGCAGTGCTGTTATCCTGCGTAGTTTACTTTCTTAGTAGGCTCTTACGACACCCACCCCTATGGTGGTGGCATTCCGTATTCTTAAACTGTCACCACACGGACTTTTTTAAATTATACGGCACGGAATTAAATTTTACGGCATTACAATATTAATTAGGATCTCCAAGGAAAATTTATATCGCCCATTAAATAAAGTTAAGGTGAAAATCATTGCTAACTCTTTTTCATCAGAAAATGACCTAGTGAGTTTAATAGTAAGACATTTGATTTACTCAGGTTTAAATTCTATAAATTATAATTTAAAATATTATTTTATATAAAACAAACAATCTTTACATTATGTAAAATAATTTAAATTTAAGTCATAATTTAGTATTTTAACTTAAAAGGGACTCTACACGAAAAGCAAAAACAAATTGTAGGCTAATTTTAAAAAGTGCACATGACTAAATGCCCCAGACTGCGTGTGGCTGCACTTCCATACGATCGCGTGCACAACGTACTAACACACGCGTGAGTGTTGTATTTACACGTCCATTGATACATGTGTGTTGCACTCATTGACTGACGTGTGAGTAAATGCGATTTTTACATGTAGTAATTTTCCATGTGTGAGTGAGTGGTCTCGCGTTACGTCACAGAAGTTTCGAATGTGTTTAAAAATAGTTAGATTTCGACCATATAATGCTAATTAGCTTATCTATATTTTTTGAATACAAAACTGATGTCATGTGTGAAAAAAATTGCTTGTTAAATGTAATGAGTTGTGCCGAACAGTTTGACGTTTTTGAAAATATTTGGTAACAAATTCAGTACCCACTAAACATTAAATTACCTTCTTAAATATTTCATCTTTCATAAAGGTTTAACATAATTTTATAATAATAAGTTGTAGAATTAACTAGACTTACTGAGTCAAGTTGCTTCAAAATAAAATTGGTGAAATGTTGATCATTTTAATTAATTTATTTCGGTCAGGTATTTAGGTACTGACACATCATGCACTTTTGGTGCACCGGACTTAATACCTTAGCCTCTAACCTCAATAAGCATTTGTTCATCGTCACGTTACATATTACCATCGTTTATAAAAAAATGACCGCCTTGACTGACTAACATGATCAAAAACTTTATTAGAAGTAAGTGCGAGCCCAGTATTGAGCCAATCTTCAGTTACATAATATCAGACACGGTCTGCATCGATGATAAAACTATAATTTAATCGTTAATATATTCAGAAGTAATATGTTTTGTAATGTTTGAAGACCTCCATGTGAACATTTGATGAGTAAATAAATAAGGTATTAGCGGTATAAAATCCATATTTCGGTACTGGTATGGACATCAAAGAAATAGTGTAAAGTGGTTAAATTCCTTTTCAGAGGTATACGGATTGGACTGTGTGTAAGGCAAGGGGGATTAAGCTCGCCCCGTTTGTTCAATCTGTACATCAATCAGCTGATTGTTGAGCTTAGCAATACTAATGTCGGGTGTTATGTAGATGGGGTCTGTATAAATAATATCAGTTATGCAGACGACATGGTGTTGCTGAGCCCATCAATCGGTGCCCTGAGACGACTCGTCTCTATTTGTGAGTCGTATGCGGTGGCTCATGGCCTCAGGTACAACGTGAAGAAGAGTGAACTATTAGTTTTTAAATCAAGTAACAAGAGCTACACAACTATACCGGATGTATTACTCTCTGGCGTACCTCTATCTAGGGCTAATAAGTTCAAGTACTTGGGTCACTGGGTCACCGAAGATTTAAATGATAATCTAGACATAGATAGGGAGCGCAGGTCGCTGGCTGTCCGTTGTAACATGCTGGCTCGAAGGTTTGCACGATGTACGTATGCAGTAAAGATAACGTTATTTAAAGCCTACTGCCAGTCATTCTACACGTGTAGCTTGTGGGTAAGATATGGTGGGCGGACATACAGCGACCTGCGTGTTCAATATAATAACGCACTGAGGGTGCTGTTGGGGCTGCCGTGGAGGTGCAGCGCATCAGGTATGTTTACAGAGGCGCAAGTTGACGGCTTTGCAGCCATAATTAGAAAAAGGTGCGCCTCACTGATGACGCGTCTTCGCGGCAGTACCAACACCATCCTAAGGGTGTTTACAGATCGGTGGGAGACGCCGATGATGCGCCGATGGATGCGGCTACATGCCGTAATATGAATTGTTTTTGTTTTCATTAAAATAAATATAAGTTATACTAACATTAGTACGTAAGCAAATTATTACTAACAAAATATGGAAAAGAAATTCTGAAAATAAATTTTTATTATTATTATTATTATTATAAATATAGACTCCTAGACTGCCTAAGCCGGTGACATTTTTTTTTTTATTTCAAACTATGCCGCTTGTTCCACTTTCTGAAGAACGTCTTGTTGGTACACGGTTTAATTTGAACGTAGTAAAAATGGATAGTATTAAGTTAATTTTAACTACTGAGTATTAAGATCTTTACCCTCAGAATATTAAGAAGTCTCGGTAAACAACGCTACATTTTAAAGCAAGAAGAAGAAAACTGTGAAATAGATTATAAAATTTAAAACGATTAAGACAAATTACTGCCTATAACGGGAGTGGTAATATTTTTTTAATTCGTCTACCCCGGATGAAGTCAAGGGTGTCGTACGACTTTAATTCACTGGCGATTTATCACTCAGAGCTGAAGTATACTAGCTGTGCAAGACTAGAAAAAAAAAGAACTTTTCTTTGTTATGTTCTCCCTGGGCGTTCAATGAGTTCAAGAAGGAAATATTTGTTATTTGTGGAACAAAGTTACATACACACGCTTACAGCCTTCAATCTGAGGCCAAGACAATACGATTGTAGAGTCGTGATTACGATAATTTGAGTGATTTTAACGGTGTTTAAATTAATAGAAATATGGATGCCCAATTAATTTTAATTAGTTCTAGACACGGGATGTAGCTAGATGTAGGATTGCCCTGGCAATAATATATGTCTCTCGATGTGACTGTTAGAAAAGCACACTGCACGGCAGCGCGCTATTAAAGTCAGACTATATATACACTATACAGTACAGTACAACTATAAGTTGGTAGCTGGTAATCCCTACGCACTGTCTTCTTTTTCGCCTCTAAAACGGACATACATTTAAGAAATTGCGGGATTATGTATTACCGAAAAATCCCGGGATTGCTCAATATTTCTTTTTCCCACGAAATTTCGCGCTTTTAAACTTTGTTTTTTTTTTACCATTATTAGCAGTGTATATTAGCTTTATATTAGTGAAGCTTTTACTTTAGCAGAAAAAAGTCAGAAAAAAATAAAATCGAAAATCCTATTTTTTCTATTTCCATGGCCCCTATAAGTCGTAGCCTGTTTAAAAAGCTTTTATAATTAAGAGTTTTGTTTGTTCTTTTAAAGTAGTATAATACCGGTAGGGTATCCCTTACGAATTATGAAATATGTTTTTTTTTAACGTTTTCTAAAATTCGGGATTGGAAATTTGTTTTAAGGATTATTTTTAAGCGAGTTTCATGGGAGTTTTACTCTAGCATTTGTAATAAGTTAATATATCATATTAACCGATAAAAAGAGTATGTCCGTTTTAGAGGCGAAAAAGAAGACAGTGCTACGTATCCCGAGCGTCATCAGATCTTTTTGGTACAAAGAACAAGGACAAATACACGGTGATTTTGAAAGCGTTTTGGAAAAGAAAATTTTGAGTTATTTATCAGTAACAGAAGCTATATATAACGTTAATTTAATAAAATATATATATTTTTTATCATCAAAGTCGATATTCATATCGATTACAGAGAAAAGAAGAAACCAGTAGTAGGGCTTTTCAATCGCAAGTAGGTAAATACTACGAATAGAAATACTATGCGTTTTAATATCGAGTCACATAAAGGTCGCGCGCTCACGCGCAAGGTCAAGGACGTTTAAAATACTTGTTTATACACGGGAATATGAAAACCGTGATAATTTACGCATTGCGATAGTATACGCTTTTGATTAAGTGAAAAGTGATAGAGACACATTAAGAAAATTTAAAAAAAATTGCATTAAACGTGGACGTTTGTGTATTGAATGCAGCGGACTCCATTTTGAGCAGTTGCTTCGATACAGAGAAGTGTAAATAGTGTAAATAGGTATGTAAGTTAATTATTATGTAGAAAGCTCCGATTTTTTAAATACGCTTGAAATATTTATACCTACAGTCCGTTGATAAATTGATTTCTTGTGAAAAGAACAATCGTGGTTAATAATCGAAAAGAAGTTTAAATAAAATAGGTATTTCCGACGATCCTAAGCCCGTGTAAAGTATGAAGGACAAATTGGAGTCTATCTACGTAAGTACTCGCTAGCTCGCGCCTATAGGTATACTTTTATCAGCTGCTGTTAGCGTCAGCGGTGCGCAGCGGCCGCCGAAACGCCCGGACGTGTTTCATTCATATAAGATAATGAATGAATGATCAGTCCATTACTACTTTCCAAGTCGATCGAGTAAAAATGAATATTAAAACTGAAACTTTTTTTTAGACAACATTACAATTGATTTAATCATTTTTATTGGTACTATAGATGATTCCAAATTAAAATGTTTCGTTTCCAAAACGCCTAAAAAATCACCGTGTATATTGCTGCTCACAATTTTGGAACGGGACGCTTGGTAAGGCCTAGTACACCTTTCATTCCGTAAAAACAGCGCCATAGTAGTACCGTAGCAGTTTACATTTCGTAGACTTGTATCGTTTCAGACTGAAAACTACGCTACAAAATATGTTGAAAGTTTCGTAGCTTTAAGAAAGTGGTCGTCAACTTTCTCGTAAATGAACAGTGCGATAAAGCTTGAAATTTAATATTATTGCAGCAAAAAATATAATTAGATACGTTAATACTAATTGAGCCGATGCATCGAACACCTTCTTCAACGGAGTCGACGTACTGTCCGGAAGCAAAACGGAAGCTAGCTTAATAAAGATATTTGGAGTTAAGTTAAAAACTTGCGAAAAATCTCCAACAATCGAATCCCGATGCGGATGAACTATCCACATAGGTACAACTTTTGCACGGAACCCTCAATGCGAAAGTCATTCATGGTCCCGGTTCAATTCATGTGTTTTTTTTCAATCTATTTGTAACAATCTACATTTATTTGTAAAATGTCGTAGTGTAAAATCAACTTTTACTAAGTTTTTAACTTAATTTCACTTGCCTGCACTTAACTTCATAATATTTTAGGGACTAGATATTCAGTCTTCGATATTCTTTCTCCGTAATTGTTGTTAATTTTTGGTTTAAGCAGCTTTAAAGTTGTTGTTAATGTGTAAATGCAAAACGTCCTCCCAAATAACATTTTATTAAATTTCTCAATAATAATATTTATAAAATGGAATTTTCCAAATCTGTTCGTAAATGACGGAGTTCAGAGACAATAGTCATAAAATAATACAACTGGATTGAAAAACTACACCTTTTTTAAGTCTGATAAAAATACCAAGACGTTTGATACACCTAAGAGGCTCCAACGAGTCACAGTCACTCTGTTATATTCAGTTCCGATCAAGTCTCAATCTCTCAGCTGTCGGTATTTTCGTAGTAAAATAGTAAAGTATTACTACGACTATCAGATTACTGATTCAATTTTTGGTCACAATACAATATAATCACATTAAAGTCAACGTTGGATGTTTAATACTTTACTACGAAAATATCTTTAATGACAGTTATGAGATCGAGAGTTGATCGGAACAGAATTTTGACTGAGTTTTAATACGAGACTTGGCCTTCTGATAATAATGGAGAAATGCTTACTCATCTTCTTCTCACTCACCTTTTAGCTACCCCACTACAGCTATATCTCACACGCTAATTGCAAAGACACCCTCATAATATTACTTATTAAAATTATGGTTGCGTTCGTAAACCAATAAGAAGGCAAAACATTTAGTATGTTCACGTGTTTGTATTAGATAAGGCACATGTTCACTCGTGTTTTGCCTGTCTCTCCAAACTAACGGAGAATGTGAAACCCACTAATAATACACTGGTAAAATTTTGATATCTGTGTGATGTAAAAATATTGACTGTTTAGTGAATTTCTTTTAAAAAAGACAACTCCCTCATTAGGAATATATCCTGTGTCGCGGGGGACTTTACAAACATACGTGAAACGGACACAAAGAACACCCAGACTCAGAACAACAATTTGTGGATCACACAAAGTGTCGTCCCATGTGGGGATCGAACCAACAACACTCAGCGTAGTAGTAAGTGGCGTGGCGACCGCTTATAATACTACGCCATCCTTGCAGTCAAGGTTGTTGTTTACGTTTAGTACTTATTATGATAAAATAAAAACATATTGTTGACAAGATTTCTTTTTTGTATTCTCTAAAACGGTTGCCTTACTTTTAATGTCTACCTGATGTTAAAAGGCTAACTAACTCTAATTAGTTTTAATTTTTCGATTTGGTATCCACGGAAAGAATATTTATAATTATACGCGAAATAAACTACGAAGAAGACATAGCCTATATATCCTTATATATGAGTATAACCATAATAAAATTGAATTATCTGTTTTCAATATCATAGTGGCAGCTTTTAACCAAATGCATCTGAATATTTGGTTAAAAGCATCTGAATATTTACACGGGTCTTGACATAAAACTCTTAAGTATTTTTGTCTGTGTATCTGTTTGTTCTGGTCATCCTATATATCCTATATACGTGGTATATATACATCAACGGATAGACTGATTTTCACGGGAGGTTCACTGCATATAGCCGATCTTAAGAGGAGTACTTAGACTCTTATTCTCAAAAACACATTTTTTGCGCAAAAATATAAACATGTTCACATGGGTGAAGCCATGTTGGGAACAAAGATACAAATAATCGGTTGATAATAAAAACTTTTTACTAAAATTCTTAGAACTTTTTCTTAAGGCTTAGTCCTATTCCACGACTTTACAATTCAAAGACAAAAAATATTTCTTCGCTATACTTTACTTATGTGGCATGATTTCAGACTAACCAAGGCATATTACGAGTACCTACTGCGTAAGTTAATTACGTTAATTACGAACAATCAAACATAACTCGCCGCACACATACGAAGACAAAACCTTTAGAAAGATTTGTTTATCAATAATTTTTCATCCATTTTTAAATTCACACAGTGCATTACCATTTTATCGAGTGTTAACCAGAGACCCTATTGCGTCCCACGTAAGAGACGTAAAAATACCTACATATTCACAATTGAATAGTAAAAAAATATGTGTTGTACAATGCAAAGCGGAGGCCATTCAAATTTTACGATCGCAGTGCATGATTTAATATTGTCAGTGTATGCGCATCTCATGTACCTTTTTAACTTGCCTCGGAAGGGAGGAGCACCCAATGCCGTGCCAGAGAGCAATTTTAGGAAATATTATGGAGACATAAAACATAGAATTTTAGCCATTATTAATTAGTCTATACTAGTACGTAGTTATTTCATTTATTCCAAGGATTCTAATAAAAAAATTATTAATAAAATACTATTTATACTAATTACTAATAAAAAAAATTAAAAAATTATTAATTATTATTCTTGTGCATTTCTTCATTTAACCCGGCGTCAGCATGGTAGAAAATAGGTACAACAACTGCATGATGGGTCATAATTACCCAGATTTTAAACCGTAGCAAATTTTTACTATTTCAATGACATTTAGAGCAAATTTGTGTTTAACTTGAAGAATAGTTCTTAAGTTATAATATTTTGGAGACAAAATAAAAAAAATAAGTTATATAAAGATCTTTTTATGTATTTAAGAAATCAGTAAAAAATTTACAAAAAAAAATCAACTTCTAGAAACTTATTAGTAAAAAAAAAAAAAAGACTAAATAACACTTATTTTTAACTTTTTGGAATGACAAATATGAGATCTTTAAGAAAGTATATGTAAAAGTTTTAAAGAATCTTAGGGTTAATCACTATTAGCCTCGTCATCTACGCAACCGCCACAGAAAGAAATTATATGTTCAGGGCAGATGAATTGGTTGCATCTTTGACAGGTATGGGTAGTTTTCCTGTCTTTTTTAGCGGGGCATATCTGGCATCGTTTACGAACACCACGAACTTTAGCATGGGGCTCCTCTGATGTTTCTCCTGTAAACTCTCTTATTCTTTTGCGCATCTCTCTTGGTAAATGAACTACGTCCTTGCGAGCGCTCAAGTGATCATTTATAAGAGCAAGACCTAAGTTTTTCAAGAATTTACGCCGTTTCAGATTTTGTAAATTAGTGTTCTCTTTATAAATTATATATGCATTTATCGCTGACATATTCAACATGGCGTAAAACATAGTCAAAGGCCATTTTTTTGAATTCCGACAAACATTGTAGGTAGAACAGAGTTCGTCAGCGACGTCTACCCCACCCTTTGCCACATTATAAAATGTATTTATTTCTGGCTTTTTCTTTTCTTTAGAAGACTCATCAATTTGTCCGTCGTGATGTAAAGATGACATAAGTAGGACTACTTTATTTTTTTTGGGAATGTGGGAGACAATCGTAACATCTTTTTGAAAACCAAAAGTTGAAGAATATATTTCTTTTCCTCGTGTTCGTGTAAACTCAGGTGGAATCTGCCTTTTATTTTTGCGAACAGTACCTACACTTGTCAATTGATGCTCCTTGAGTAAGTGCAGCACTAGCTCATAACTGGTAAACCAGTTGTCAAACGTTATATTGCGGTTCGTTTTTGAAACAGGCTGAACAATGCGATCAACGACATCAAATGGTTTATTGCTTTTAGCATAAGGTCCATCAGGTTGTTTACCCGCATAGATTTCCAGGTTAGTGATATAAAACGTTTTCGCGTCAACTAAGGCGATTATCTTCAACCCGTATTTTGCCGGCTTCGAAGGAATGTACTGTCTAAATTTACACCTTCCTCGAAACGCTACAAGCATTTCATCAATCGTTAGGTACTCTCCTGGCTTGTAAGCATTTTGACAGTTACTAACAAAAGCATCAAAAAGGTCTCGAATCGGAGCTAAATTATCAACTGATTGCCTGACATCCCGAGTAACCAAGTCATCGAAGCAAATACAGCTCTGGATAAAATGGAATCGTCGTTGTGACATAGTCAAACGAAAAATTTCTATTCCAGTGCCGTCTGAAGCCCAAAGATCGCTCAAGTTCTGTCGACCTGATCTCTGTACTCCAGCTATAAAAAGAAGTCCAAAGAATGCCATCAGTTCACTATGATCACATTCTTTCATGTAGCTGTTCTTTGTAGGGTCTTGACAGTCTGCTATCTTTACTCTGATTCGTGAATTTGTATATCTGAGAATCCTCCTCCTTTTCAGATTTAGCACATCCGGCTCCAGACTGAACTCCTGGCGTAAAAGTAATAATATTTTCTGATCGGATGCGAACATTTTGTCTAAAAGGTTGTTTGCGCCATATTGTACCATCTTTACCAGAATAAGTTGAAATCAGTACCTCATGATTCGATGTTTCTGCATCCGATAAATTGTGCTGATTAGATCTACGTACGGAGGAATACACTTGACGTTGGATGACACTCAAAGGTACATCATCATCATCATTTTCTGATGCCTCTTGCTCGGTATCACTCTGTTGAGAACGCTCGCTAACGTGATCATCTTCCTCGCATTCCGAGGAATTTTCACCTTCTTCCGAGTCGCTTTCTTCTAATATTGACAGAATTCGCTGCCTTTCGCGTTCTTCTTTATCCATTATTTAAATATAACCTAAAAATAACAAAATATAATGTAATGTCGGTACAAATAAATAAACGAAATAATCAAATAATGAACTCAACGTAATTGGCATGAAATGGTATCATCGAATGTATAGTTGGGTCATATTTACCTTTTTTTTGTTTGACCGCGTCTATCTTCCTGTGCAGGCGCATACCGTCTAAGTTGATATAAGAAACAAGGGAGGCGGGGCACTAATTGCAGCTACTGAGAAGCGTGCTAACGTGCCACTATTATTTTCTTAAATACCCGCATTTAAAAACATCACGGGTCATTATGACCCAACCTAGCAGACGCCGGGTTAATAAATTGTACTTTTATACATCATACATTGTACACATCACCAGAAATACGGTGAGTCATTTTTTAACAGTAAAATACTATTTACTTACGATTTGATGTCGTATTTTGACTACATCATCTCTCTTTTTATTTTAAACAATTTGTTTTTTAAATAGAAAACAAATAAATTGACAAATGAAGTCTATATTCAGTACCAGATTTAAGCACAAAGGTGTTATGATTGTACTTATCCAGGGATAGAAAACAAAAATTAAATGAATTACACCAGTATGACAACGACTGGTTCATCCACCTCGTATTGAACGTCCGATATTCAAATCCGTGACTATTGTGTCGATAAGGCTATGATTTTGCATAATCGACCACCAATCCGTCAGGCATCAGAGCTGTCAATGGATGCTTTGTCTTCAAGATCCCCGCGCCAGAAAAACTAAAGTTGACAAGAAATATGAATATGTTAGTATATCATTTAGTCTTATTGCTTACATTACAAAAGTTGTTTACTGCTATACATATGGATGTTAAACAATGGGACGCCATTTTTAGTTATGTATTACAAAACAATATGTATCTAAAATTATATTTGACTGTGATTGTCCTTGTTTTTTCTGAAAGTCACAAACCAATAGTGCCTATAAGAAAAATATCGTAAATTTAAAACAAGCTTTTATAGAACCTGGATAGCGTATACTAAAGTACTTACCAAGACAAAACAAATGAGCCTAAACTCAATGGGTTATCTTGTTTAGTTAAGAAGTTCCTATGACCATCTTCCGGCTCCATCATCAAAACGGTTCCATTGTGTCATATTATTATCTAGTTTGAAGATACACATATAAACAAAATTTGAGCAGGGAGTGGTTCTAATTTAGATTCCAAGATTCGTCCTGAACACGTATATATCCAAACATTTCAAATTAAATACAAGCTTGTAATATACCTCACACATCTCACACACGGCCGTCTGATCCCAAACTAGGCAAAGCCTGTGTTATGGTAACCAGACTGCTGATAAACATACTTATATATTTTTAAATACATACATATTATAGATAAATTACACCCAGACACAGAACAAATCCAATAAAAGCGGAACGTGTTGGCCGTACGTGACAGTATTTTTTACGTGAATTAACACAGTGAATTAACATCGAAGCGAATTTCTAGTACGACTAACTAGTTATACAGTGATTTCTTGTTTGTAATAGTAAGTGTTTGTAAATACAGTGATATTAAAGTAATTAACCGACTACTTTTTTTTACAGTATACCCCGTTCGTAACAATATAATATAAAATGACGTGCCCTGACTGATTGATTCATCAACGTAGAGCCTAAACCGCTGGACCTACAAACTTAACATTTTAGCAGCTGGTGTTCTTATGTTATAAGCACCCACTAAGAACGGATTGATAATTTCACTAATTAGGGGGTAAAATAAGTGATTATGTTATGGAAGTTAGTTATTTTTAAAGTTAGAAACATGAAATAAAAAACAAGAACGCGGACGGAGCCGCGGGCAATCCCAAAAGAATTCATGGTATACCATCCCATCCTAAACGCCTTATATAATTAGTTTAAATATGAAGTTTTACATTGCTTTATAATAATTGGTCGCAGAATTTATGTAGGTACTTCGCCCTAGTAATGAAATCTAGTAAATAATTAGGCATGGATATGATTGCTACTGTTATATCATAATCATATGATGAAAGGATTTTTTTTTCTCAAAACAGACAACTCCCGCACTAGGTATAAATCCTGTGTCGCGGGGGACTTTACAAACATACGTGAAACGGACACAAAGAAGACCCTTACTCAGAACAACAATTTGTGGATCACATAAAGTGTTGTTCCATGAGGGGATCGGACCCACAACACTCGGCGTAGTAGGAAGCGGCGTGGCGACCGCTTAAACCACTACGCCATTCGTGCAGTCATTTTAGTCACTACGATTTTACCTGTGATTGTGATTTGGTCATAGACAAAGATAAATAACATCAAAATCAACAACGTGGTTTTGTAAATTAGTCACTCGTGTGATTACATGATTTTTAAATCAAACACAATATTTTAACTCTGCACGCCCTAACTCTACAAGCCCTAACTTCACAATTTCTACACCAAAATATGTGGCTTGACCATTTTGTTACCAGGTACAAGAAATATTGTAAACTAGTAAAGTATTGAATAGTGAATAAATTGTTCACCTTACGCCCATGTGACGGGAGCGAATAACGGTAGGCGGTAGCGTTAAGTTTTTGATGTTCATCTGGGCATCATTACTACAAAAACTATTGTAGTGAACAAATATTTCACCCTACGCCCATGTGACGGTAGCGAAACGGCCAAGCCACATATTTTGACTAAGGTGTAGAGATTGTGAAGTTAGGGCTTGTAGAGTTAGGGCGTGTAGAGTTAGAAGTTTGCCTCTACATGAAATCTGATAACTTTTGGCAGTGCGAGCCATATACGAGCCAGATACTCGTAGTCTCGTCTTGGCAACATTTTACATGAAGATGTTTTTATTGGATAATAGATACACTTAGTGAGTTTGTAACACAACAAGACGTTTTGGTGACGTCAATGTACGAACAATTGATAACCATAGTAAAAAAGTGTTGTTAAAATACTACAGGATAAAATTTTACTCACGTTAGCCTCTCTAAAAGAGTTTTTAGACTGGACAATACATCTTAATATTAAAAAGATAGTCAAGTGTAAAGTTGAAGATTATGAGCGTGAAGGAAGCACAAACTCAAAACTCAGCCGCTAACTGAGCAAGAAATAAAGTGCATCAGTAATATTTCTTAGAGTTGCAGATTTTGCGAAAATTAATAGGCGCCTATTGAGAATTACTTAATGACCATCGCTTCTGCATTAGCATCTTTCATTTTTATGTTTTTTTTTATCTTAAGCTTAATGTAACCCAAACCACAGAAATATTCACATAACATTGGTAATGTTTGTGGTAGTATTTCAATTTTTTTACACAATTTTGAAAGACAATAAATCGAATCGTACGCGATCGTACCCCGATTAGCATCGAAAACAATCGGCGCATCGATAAAAACTGATCGACAATTTTGCACTGGGCAAACTTACGTCAAAGACTGCCGGTACTTCTTGTGACATGATGTACAAAACAATTTCAGTAAATACTAAAATGGTGATAAGAGCGAACGTTGAGAGCTTGTCTTACAAAAAATGTTATTGTAGGTCATCATTCATTTGCGGGTAGAGTGTCTGTTCGTCTAGAAAAAATCGAGACATTTTAAAGCACTGACAAGAAGTAGTGTGGCGTAACTTTTCTATTCCTATAGTCGTTTTTACTAATCGCTGTTATATACACATAATAGGCATAATAAAACTAACTCCTTAAAGATATCTACTTTCAGCTCTATATAAGATGTTTAATGGGATCCCCAGCATGGTACAGTATGTCAAATCCAAGACGAATTCAATGGGTTGTAGTAATATTAAAACTCGTACTTGCGATATTTTTTTTACCATTACGACGATTTACCTACGTAAAAACCCTTTTGTAAATAAAAATTAGAAAAACAATAGAATAAAATTCTATTGTTACCAAAGGTAAATTGACATCCAACCTATATAACATTTAAGTAAACTTGGGTCTTTTGTGAATTTAATATTGAAGCAGCAAATAAAGTTTTAGTATCGATGGAAAAAATAAAAAAGTTTCTGTAGGCTCTAAGGAAACATAACTGACCTTCATCTTTGCTCTCTTTAATGACTCATAAACCTTGGAAAATTACTTTTTATAAGTAGTCTACCTATACACTATCCTCCTGACAAAATTAGATTAAATAAATCCAAAAGAGTACCAAGAATAACATCTTTGGATAACCTTTGGCAGTCCTTTTTTTGTACCTACACCAGAATAACTCAATATTTAGTCTCTACTTATCAAGAATATACATAAAATTTTAAAATAGTTGTGTACTTCGTTTTAACAAACATGAACAAGCTTGGTGACCGAATTCGCTAAAGACAGTAAAATAGATACCTACACTTAAAGACTTACTAAATGTTAAGGTTTTGCAAAATTTAATCAAAATCGTTAGAGTCATGTATAGTTTTAAAGATTTTAAACTATTAGATAAAAAACAAAGAATTTACACATTTATACTTACACGAATACACTTAATTACAAATTTTAGGCGTTTTTTGACTAAGCTAACTCTTGAACTTGAAATAATGGTGATTTTTTTGTACCAAAATGATTTTCATCCGACAAAAGTTTTCTGTCCGGCAATCATCAGGTATAAATATGGCGAACTTAGTGTGGAGAAATGTATTCAACCGTTCGAATAAAAACAATAATTCCCATAGTGATAAATTATTGCAGAAAAGCGACAATTTTTGACAAAGTTTGATGACGCGCTTTGTTTTTAGTTTTTGATTTTACTCATCTGAATTAAAAAAAAAAGAGCAATGTATATACAATATTTTATCAGAGGAATTCCCTGATATTTCTTAGGCTTTGATTCATTTGAGATCAATAAATTCTGAAGACTTCGTAAATTGAGAGAATATTTGATGAATTTCCTACATAGTAAACAGCAACTTCACTCCCACATGAAAAAAACCCGTTAAAAATAAGGAGAGTGTAAAACTGGGCTTTAAGAGGAAAAGGTTCTTGGGTAAGTACGAAATTATTTTACTTATTTATTTCAGGCATAATCGCCCATAAGGATGTAATAAAAGTTAAATTAAATTACATTAATTAAAACTAAAACACAAAAAAAAATACAAAAACCTTAAATGAATTTCTCAGCAGATAAACACGGCGGAATAAAACAGACACTAATTGATTACTACATGCACATAATCGAGTCAGGACAGATGCTTTCAGTCTTCTATTATTTCCAAACTTTGTTCGTAACATCAGAAATCCTTGTAGAGTATTAATTGCTGTTGAGTAACGATCATACTCTTTTGATTGGAGGTAAAAGAGTTTTCAATCCTTGAAAAAATAAATTAGTGCAATAACAGGTGAGGGTTTATTACTCGTTAAATATCGCAAATATCTGTTTTTAAATATAAGTATTAAATATAAAAATTCATCAGTAAGTATGAATAAAATAACTTTAATTTAACAAAATCTCTACATGAATTGGAAAAGAACGGATGATATTTAAAAAAGTTAGCACATTGTTTTTCGTTTTAGCTAAACTCCTGCAATAATTAAATCATCTTCCAAACCAAAAAAAAACAAAATCTAAATTTTTTTATAATAATTTCATCATTTATATTAATATAAATCTTTTTTATTCTCTTTTTATGTAATTACAGTTAACAACTGGAAAACAAAAAAAAAACGTATACTAAGTGTAATAATTAGCATGGTTCTGGTCTTTAAGGAACAAATATAATTTTTATTATTACCATTTATTTATATTATTTTTCTGCTCTTCAACTGAAGGTCGATTCAACTATAATCGGCTATTATTTACGATTTCATATGCGAGTGGTAATAAGTGTGATCGATTTATCTACAAATATTATTTAGCCACCGTTTTCGCTAGTGTATTCTTTGTCGTTAGTAGAATGTATTTTTAACTATACTAAGTATATAGTTAACACAAATACGACTGCCTCGGTAGCGCCGTAGGGAGCATATGCGACTGCTGTGCTGAGGTCTCGGGTTCGATTCCCGGGTCGGACCAAAAGTTTGTATGATCTGTAAATATTTGTTTCAAAGTTTTGGTGTTTTGTATGTATTATATGTAAGTATTAACAAAAAAAAAGTAAATAAGTATTCTATCAGTCAATCTCGCTTTCACAGTACAAGCTCTGCTTAGTTTGAAACTAGATGGCGTTGCGTGTTAGATGTCCGAAATATTTAATATCAACAACACATTTTTTTTTTAATATAGTTTTGTGATAACAATATATACTTCTGTCATAAAAATGATTGCCTTAAATTTTATACTCTGTCTTTATTGATTTTGTTAGTTTCTAGCTTTCTGTAACATACTGGTTGAGTCATTACAAAATTGTCTTAAAGATCTATTCATATTTGTTTCTTACACCTCTACGAGTATCATAGTTGGCATTGCATAGGACATTATACATATTGCGATGGTTTAGTAAACATAAGTGAAAATGTTAAATGGTACAAGTAAAATTTTAACAAAAAAAACCGACTTCAATGGTTTTCTCATGGATTCCATGGTCAGAACTAGACCAAATTGAAATGGGACCAGACGGGAAGCACCAGCTTTCCAATAAAAAAAGAATCATCAAAATCGGTTCACCCAGTCGAAAGTTATGAGGTAACAAACATAAAAAAAAAATACAGTCGAATTGAGAACCTCCTCCTTTTTTGAAGTCGGTTAAAAAGAACCAATGTTGATTTACTTAATATTATTCATATACACAGATTATTAGCTTAAATAAGTTAGTGCCATAGACCAGTAGCAACAACTTTTTAATTCACACTATGTACTAGTGAGTGAGCTTAGCGGAGCCTTAATCACCCCCCCCCCCCCTCCCCCACTCCCCCTGATTCTGCAGAGAAAACTCAAGGTGTGCTTATATAGTAGTCACTTGCCATCGTGATGGAAATGATTGCTACTTTTAAATCTTAATCGTAGAATGAAATGGTTTAGTCACTGTGATTTCACTTGTGATAAATCACTACTAGGATTTGGTCATAGACGAAAACTTAAGCAAAGAAAAAAAACATACTTTTTATCAAAGACTATGACCTTTTTTTAGATTTATGTAGATTTAGACCTTTCGCGAGTCAGGCGCTAGCGTATTCATAATTTAAGGTTAAGTTTTGTAAATTAGTCACAGGTGTGATTATGTTACAGGTGATTGTGATTTTATTCCATCTCTAGTCGGTACCCTCTGCTCCTTTGCCTCGTGCATCATAAAAAATTAGTGTACCGACCGATAAAACTTGCTTACTTTTTAATTACTGCCATGTAAAAATATTTATTTTAATGACACGGTGATCACATGCAACACTAGTGATGTTACCGTGTTTATTCAAAAGACTACACGTTTGTAAACTTTATTTAGTTAAACATAATAACCAGATTCGTTACGTTTTCAACGAGTATTTCATTCGGTTCTGCATTTACGATTAATGATATGAATCATTTTAATTACCTTAATCCTTGTAATTAGGTAATTTACACTTCAAATTTATGGATACATGAGATGGAAAGATGGTGCAGAGGCTAATGAAGGTTGTCACAGGTTATAGCGTTCTTTTATGTTGTAAGTAATTATGTAATTTAATATGGTTGTTTTGAATACGGAAATGCAATTTTAAATGCTCGTTTCTAACATCCCCCGTGATGAAGACACATTATCTTCAAACAGAATATGTGTTTAAAAAAACATATTAATAATCAATCGAAAACGTAATAAGTTACACCCCAACGTAAATAAGAAAGAATTACATAACTGATATGCCAAAAAACTAGCCCCGTTAAAGGAATTCAATCGCAAGATCAAATTTAAATACTTTCATATCTTAGATCTTGGTTTCAAAAGATGCGTATTTTGTAATGTCATAATTTATAATAAAACAATACATATAATACAACTTTTGTCTCTTCTTTGAATTTTAAATTTCATAAATAAACGATGGTCATCACTAGTAATACTGAACACTTATTAAATTATTAACTACAACAGTACTGCAATAAACGCCCTGAAATTATACAGTTGTTTCAAAAATCCTGATAAGGGCAGTTGTTGTTAACATGTGAGGACTTCATATGAGCAGGTTTTAAATCCTTTCATTAAAACAGGTTAGTTTATTTTTAGGTCTATTTGTAATTACGTTGACATTCGCAGCAAAACTATTTTTTTCTGTGGCACAACTTCTTTTACTTCAGTGTTCGAAGTTAAAATATTTTTACTTTTTTCTAAAGTTCATTTACAATTACGTAATGTAAATATTATTGAGAATATTAAGGCAAGTCTAATTTATTTAGTTTCTATTTTTCCAAGTCAATGTTTTTATTTTTCTGTTTCAATATAGGTCAATTACGATGACGACGAATAAAAATATCGATAGCAAGGCCCCATGGTGGTTTTATCATAGACAAAAGAAATACAAACAGCGTAACTTTTTGTCTATGGAAATGATTATAAGAAAAAGTATAATCGAGACTCTCAAAGAGTTCTGGCATACAACGTCTATTGGCGGGATTAAGCAGATACGAAATTTGGAGAACTCAAAATTCGAGAGGTAAGTAGCTTTTTTTTCAATTTTGTAGGATTTAAAAGAATTTTAGATGTAATATATATAAAGTAAAAGGTTTTTGGGAGAAAAAGGGGTCGATCGAGTAATTTTCTTTATTTATATTCTAAAGGGTCACGAGAAAAAAATAATGATACCTAAAGCTAATTAGTTCGTTGTAAATGTCAGTATAATAATTAACAAGTTCATATATTTTTGTATTTATCGCACTTGCACCAATTAAACGTTTTTTCCGAAAATGAGTGAGCCGATTTTGACGGGACTTTCACAGGCTGATAGCTGATGTTTTAAGAAGTGATTTTGTATATTAGAAAACCAGAAATGGTATTACCTACTTGCAAATAAAAAATAGTCTAATTACGTAATAGAATTTGTTATAATCCATATTAAAATTATAAATGTGAAAGTGAGTTTGTTACGCTTTCACGCCTATTCCACTAATCCGATTTTAAACATTATTTCGGCTTAGTGATGTGAAACGTCTTTTAACATTGTTAAACCAAATCTGTAGTGAAATTTACAGCGTTATCAAACCGGTGGGATTCCCTCCTATTTAATAGGTGGATGGAGCTCCACACAGTCAAGTCAACCCCATACTACTGAGATCAAATTAAATTGTATAACTTCTAACAATAGTTTTTAAACGAAAAATTTATAAGTAGGTACCAACAACTCTGGGCCTTTTCCGAAACAAAGGCTAATTATTATTATTAAATTTCTACAATTTGTCTGTCAGTCAATCAGTCTGTTGTTATAACAGTATGAACATCAGCATCAATTAATCTTATCATATTATTTATTTATTTGTAATAACTTAATGTACAAGTTGTATACAGGCGGTCTTACCTAATGCCCAAGGCATTCTCTGCAAGTCGACCTTCGGGTGATGTAGAAAAATGATGCGGTAGGTGCAAGAGAGAACAAGAAATTTGATTGATTTATTTTAAATTTATTAATTAAATTAAACTCTGACTTAGATATAATAAGCATAAATAAGCCAATATATTCAGTAGTACATGTATACGTAGAGGTCCCAAGTCTACACGTACAATAGTGGACATCCTGATTTCAACTATGATTTCACATTACTTTTGGCCTTCGTTTTACTTTTTTTATAAAGGTTTTATTATAATTTCAATAGAATAATTAAATTCAGGATGAATATCCTCAATTTAACTAAGATTTATGACTGCACGGATGGCGTAGTGGTTTAAGCGGTCGCCACGCCGCTTCCTACTACGCCAAGTGTTGTGGGTTCAAACCCCACGAGGGACGACACTTTGTGGGACCCACAAATTGTTGTTCTGAGTCTGGGTGTTCTTTGTGTCCGTTTCATGTATGTCTGTAAAGTCCCCCGCGACACAGGATATATTCCTAATGCGGGCGTTGTCTTTTTAAAAAAAGAAAAAAAAAAAGAAAAAAAAACTGGGAGTGCATTCCAGAGAAGAACTGACTGTACATAAAAGGAAGAAAAGTAGGTCTAGCTTATTGAATAATTAATGACTGCATAATAGGGTGTCCCGAATTTTTTTTATTCTTATTTTAGCTACTTAAGACCTCTCAAAAGTTGCGCTGTTAGACGTAGATTAGCGTAAAAATAATTCAAAAAATATTTAAAAATATCCTTAGGGCTCTACCAGCATTTTTATTTACTGAAAATTCGCAAAAACAACCTTGTAGTCAATGTCGTATATTCTATGTTTTATGAATCAATCCTGTTTTATCTTGTAATTTTATCAATAAGAATTTTATCGACAGGTTGTTTTAACGATCAATCGGTTTGGATCGGACTTGCAAAATTCCTACAAAATTCATGTTTTGACTTGATTTTCGTACGTGCGCTACTTCTACAACAAGGCAGTTCGTCTCATTTCTATTTCGATTTTACTCTTGTAAGGAGTTGTTCTATTCTTCTTTGAAAGAAAAACGTAATTTGCGTTACTTAATCATAAAAATGTGTTCAAGGCGAAGTGAGACTACTATATAAACTATATACTAACTATTATATACTATATTGGGACCTTATAAAGAACTTGACGATCGCCAATTACCTGTTATAAAAGACGTTATTAAGTGCATTTTATTTACTAAAAGTGAATTAAAACTACAGAAAAACGGAAAAGATCCATCGAACACAGAAGTCTTTTCAATTGTTTCTAGAAAACTTAACACAATTTGGACCAAAGCTTCAATTCCCATCGTTTCTAACGTACGGGTTACTCAACTGCTAACCGCATATTTTAACAAATATTTATCACTAATAAGATATCCTAAAAGTAAGAGAAACGATAGCTATGACAACAAAGTTAAGTGCTTTTTGGAATCGTCAAATAAGCTTTTTGACATCGCTGCTTGTAAGTGCACTTCGTTTGAAAATTGTTCCTGCACTAAACCCAAGAAAGTTCCCATTTCTGAAAGAGATTTTTTACTGGACCAAAAAAATGATAGGAAAATGGCAATAAGCGGCGTAGACGCAAAAGAAACTGCAAGGCTTTTAAAGAAACATCAAAGACAAGAAAATTTGAAGCGGACAGAGCAAGCATGGTTTCCGAGTACTTCACAAACCGATACTGTACCGGTACGCGTGTTGCCGCCTCGTTCACAGTCGCTTTCAATAGAACCTTCTACTAAAAGTGACTTAAAGGAGTGTCCATCTACTTCATTTAGTCGGAACACTCTGACGCTGCCAACAGTAGCTAAGGTATGTGATCGATACGGACTATCAACGCGTTCGGCAGCTGCAGTCGCTTCAGCAGTCTTAGTTGACGTAGGAATGGTATCTTCCGAAGATCTAAACCTTGTGATTGATAAAAATAAGATTCACAGAGCTGTTTCAAAGTCACGTACCCAAGCCAGCAAAGACATCGATAAAATTATTATAAGAGTATCTACTTCGATGGGCGAAAAGATAAAACTCTCAAGATCAATAAAATAGACAGCCGGTACCACCGAAAAGAAGTCTTAGAAGAACACATTTCAGTTCTTACAGAGCCGGGATCTATTTACTTGGGACATACGACGCCGAGTCGAGGTACTGCGAAAATCAAGGATGGAACTTAGAAGAAGTACGAGGGGTGATCAATAAGTAATGATAATCAAAATGAAACAGAACTATTAGATTAAAAAAAGTATTTTATTTTTCAACATAGTCTCCTTGCAAGTTAATACATTTAGTGTATCTTTTTCTAATCCCATGATTCCCTTAGAAAAAAATTCTTTGTCTTGACCCTCCCAAAATGCCTCTACTGCGGCCATCACTTCACTATTGTCCTCAAATTTGTTGCCCCGGAGGTGTTCTTTGAGCCGAGGAAAGAGGTAGAAGTCACTGGGACCTAGATCTGGCGAATAGGGAGGGTGTTCGAGCAGTTCGAACCCCGTTTCTTCAATGGCAGCCATCGCAACTGCGGCTTTGTGAGCCGGGGCGTTGTCTTGGTGAAACAGCACTCCAGCGCGCAGTTTACCGCGTCTTTTTGACTTAATAGCTTCTCGCAATCTTCTTATTTGGCCTGCGTAGTAAGAGCCTGTTATAGTGGCCTCCTTTTCCAAATATTCCACCATAATAATTCCTTCTGCATCCCAGAAAACAGACGCCATAACCTTTCCCGCTGAACTTGACACTTTGAATTTCTTCGGCGTTGGTGAGGAAGCTCGTTTCCAAGTCATTGATTGTTGTTTGGTTTCGGGATCAAAGTGATGGATCCAGGTCTCGTCCATGGTCACAAAACGCGCCAAAAAAATTCTTTATCGGCCTGGAACTTTTGAAGATTCACCCTCGAAATGTCGACTCGTTTCTTTTTTTGCTCGTCGGTTAACATTATCGGTACCCAACGCGCAGAGACCTTTTTCATATGCATTTTGTTGACAATGATTTTTTTAACGCTGCCATAGGAGATCCCTGTGACCTCAGCTACATGCCTTACGGTCACCCTTCGATCGGCCAACACGATATCTTCCACTTTTTTTACGTTTTCTCCAGTAAGGGACGTGGAAGGGCGTCCCTCGCGATGTTCATCTTCAGTGGAGGTTCTGCCCAGCTTAAATTCCTTTGCCCAGCATGCGACTGTGGAATATGGAGGAGCAGACTCCCCCAATGTTTCCTCTAAGTCGCTGTGTATGTCTTTGGTAGACATTTTTTTCAGGCAGAGGTACTTGATGACAGCTCTTATTTCATTTTTCTCCATTTTGATGTTTTCTCTTCGACAGTTCGTATTCAAATGAATGTATCTCCCGGTAATGGTTTATTTATTTATTTATTTATTTATTTTCTTTAAAAACAACTATTTTTACAGGCTTAGCCCAATGCAATAGTGTTATACCACCTACTTATTTATTATAAGAAATAATTCTTAATGCTGTTATTGTGAATTCACTCAGTGAGCAATAAAATAAATCTACTTCGTCCGCAATTATATTCAGAGTACGTAGTGCGCGCGTCAGCGGTGCTTCTCTCTGCAGGTTGGTGCGCCCATATATGCATATGGTGTCCTATTTATACATTTTTTTGAAGCTGAAGTAGTGGATATATAAGCAAGCAGAAAAATAATAATTTGGGTTTTTGTGCGTTCTAGAAATACTCGATTATCATTACTTATTGATCACCCCTCGTAAGTTGTGTGGGTTGCGATGGCACTCCTACAAATACAGGTTGGAAAGGAGGTGTCATTAAATACCTGGAAGACTATTTGAAGAGACCGTTACAATGGTGTGTTTGTATGCTTCACACAAATGAATTACCGCTTCGCCATTTGTTTATGTCTCTAGATGGTAGCACATCTGGGCCGAAAGAATACTCAGGACCTATTGGAAAACAGCTAAATGTTTGTGAAAGTAAACCACTAGTGTCTTTTTGTGCAGTGGCTGGCAATTTGCTCGAATTACCTGATGACATTGTGAAGGAACTAAGTACGGATCAAAAGTATCTGTATGAAATGTGTCATGCTGTGACGACTGGTTCTTGTTCCCCTGAGTTAGGGAGCCGCCAACCTGGAAAAATGGCGCATTCGAGATGGCTAACTACTGCCAATCGCATACTCAGACTTTATGTAAGTACTGTTTCGCCATCAAATAATTTAAAGCTGCTTGTCAATTATGTGGTCAAAGTTTATGCTCCAGTTTGGTTCCTCATTAAGAAAAACTCATCATTCAAAGATGGAGCCAATCATATTTTTCAAATGGTTACATACTCCCGATTTTTGCCTGATAAGCAAAGATCTATTGTGAATTCAGTGATCGAGAGAAACGCTTTTTTTGCTCACCCTGAAAACTTACTTGTTACCATGCTATTCGACGACAGAGAGCATATTCGAGAGCTTGCAGCTCGCAAAATATTAAAGGCAAGAGAAGCAGAAATAAGCAATACTCGCAGGGTATTTAAAGTACCAAAACTTAACTTCGATGCGCGATATTACATCGATTTGATATTTTGGCAAGAGTGTGAGATATCCGCTCCACCGATTTTGCGACAGATGTCCGACGACGAACTGAGAATTAAGGCTAAAGAACAAAGCTTCGATGTTATTGATTTCCCCTGTCATACACAATCAGTGGAAAGATGTGTAAAGCTAGTGACGGAGGCTTCTCTAAGTGTCACGGACGGACGGTCATTGTAGTACCTATAAATTTGATTAAAACCTTTAAAACATTATTTTTGTATCATTTATAGTTTATGTTCGAAACCTCTAAAAATGGCAAATTTGAAAAACTTCTAGGATCGGTAGAGGCCTAAAGATGACAAATATTTAATTAAATTTTGTTATATTTGTAATCTATTCACAAAAACGCAACTTTTGATACCTCTTGCGTAGCCGTCGCTTTAAAAAAAAAATCCCGTACATTGACGGGACACCCTACTGCATAAGCATAGCCTTAGTTTTAGTGGGCAAGAAATCGTTGAGACGATATAAAGCGCCAAGACATGTAGTGACATTCTGGCTGACGTGAGCAACTTGTGCCCTCCAGTCACGTGTCGAGTCGATATGTAACCCTTAGTTCTTAACCACTGGACCCAGGGGTATGATTATGTCGTCGAAGACAACTGGTGGGATGGCCATCATATCCATCCATCTCATTTTATCTTATCATCTTTTTGATCAACAGAGTATGCTACATAGCTATCTTCTGCATCACATTCACAACAGCTTGTCTGTTCTTACGGTATACCTGGGATTCTACATTCACCACACCCCTGATTGTAACAGCTGAGTCGTTTACATATCCCATAAAAGATATAGATTTTCCGGCAGTCGCTTTGTGTAATTTCAACAGAATCAGCAAAAAGGCTTTGGAGGAGTATAGTTTGCTTGCTATGAAAAAGTAAGTAGTCATTCATTCATACTTTACGTATAAAAGCATGGGTTAGTAATAAAATAGTGGCTACCTATCTACTAGCGATAGCCTTTTTGTCCACGTTCGTCAAAACTGGTGTCACCAAACTAAACGCTTTAACCAATGACGCTGTATTCATACTACGCTCAAGAAATATTTGTTCGGTAGGTAACCGTACAATACATGTATTAATCCATTTTAGAACAAAACATACACTTACATATGGTATGATATTCCTTTATCTTTATTTACCTTTTTGTCGTAATTTGTGCACTTTCGGAATACAGGAAGGCATTTTATGAATTTTCTCGAATTCATTAGTACGTGCGCTTGCTCGCAGTGGTCCTAATTAGGACCTTCGCGTTTTGTGCGTTGGTGGCGTATCTAACTCTTGTTTATATCTAATATAATTGGCTTTAACCATAAACAGCAACGTCTGCCCGAGTAAACGGTTACCTTCACTGTTTACATGTACCCATCGCAAGGAGCTTTGCTTACGCGTAATGGGGGCGCGTTTATTAATCTTTATTCGGGCGATTCTTTATAAATTTATTAACATCGATTTTCGACTCTGAGAATTTAATATGATTGAGCATTTAGAGCTGCTTTTTTAAATTTTGTTATTTTAATTAAATTAAAAGAAAAACTACAAATAAGGGTTAAAAAACGATTTACTAAAAATCATCTAAAAATCTGCTTCTTTTACCTTTATATATCCTTGAACTGTACTCATTTTACATTGAAATCATGGTAAAATATGGGTATATTATGGTGAAAGTATGGGTATATTAAAAATTGACGGAAACAACCAAATAGAAAGCAGAGAAAATTGATTGCTTATTTTTTACCATAATTAGGAGCCAGATCTTCCTGCACTTGGGTGACTGCTGGCGTCTAAGCAACACTTTCCAACTACCACTAGAGCAGCAGCGTGCTTCCTTAGAACTAATAAGTAATTTCTAATACCAGCTGTTTTCTAAGATATGCAGTACCAGTAGTGATTCCAGGTCACTTAAATCAGGCCGAAGGAATGTAACCCTTATTCAACTCAGGGATTACCTACAGTCATATGGTAAACTTATTGATTATCTATACGACGGCAACCTGCAAAGGATTATAGATGACGCTCTTCTAGATGAATTAGAAATCAATATTCCAAATCTAATGCAGAAGGTTAGTCAGAGTACTTAACCAAAAATTTTGTCTAGTCGGCTTACGTAGTTGAATCCAACTGCGAAACAAAAAAAACTTAACTACTATAACTTCTTAAAAGAAGAACAATAAATTACAAATAGTTACCTACTAAAATGTTACAAGGACGTTCGTATCGTTGTGGGAAATATTTTTATGTTGAAATAAAACAAGTCGTAAGAGCCGACTAAGGGAGCAACTACGCATGACAACAGCACTACTAAGAAAAGGAAAACTTGATACAAACCGTTAACCAACCTGTCTGGCCAGCGTGGTATAGTAGGCCAAAACCTCCTTTTTCCTATGTCCAGGAGTGGACTACTAAAGTCTGTTGATGAAACCAAACTATATATTCTATACTCTAAGAATCATTAGATTTACGTTATAAAAATAATAAGTTGATATTAAAATTGGTACGATAAAAACCTATCAATAAAAAATTATATAATAGAAAAGGACAAGAAAGAGCTACCGTTACTAATATAATTAATAGAGTTCGTGAATTAATATGAATAAACTTAACAGCGACTTGCACTAGTCTAATAAAGTGTAATACGAGTACAGTTTATTTCACAAACCTTAAATATCACTTCTAGCTCTCGCCCCGTTGCGACGAAATGCTGATCAAATGCAAGTGGGCAGGACGAGAAGTGAACTGTTCGGAGATTTTTCATACCCGAAGAACAGGTCTAGGACATTGCTGTGCTTTCAATTATGTACTCGATATGAACTCTGCGGACAGGTATGCTCCGTATCCTCATTCTCTACTGTTTGTTGGTATTTTTGTTGTTATTAGCCGTATCTTTGAATATTATATGTCGCAGTGAAATATTTATACCTGTAGAAAGTCTACTACTATGACAGTCGAACTTAAACTGCATATTTATGGCTGGCATGTTATCAAAAGGTTAAAAAAGCAAGCTATTTCTGATTAGTATTATTTAACACCATTTGAAATGGTATCATTTATGTATTAGTTTCATAAAAAAATCTGCATAAAAGTATAGTCGCTCTTAACAGAAATCAAAAAGCAGTAGGTAAACTTAATTTAAAAAACTATTTTAGTAATTAACTCACAATAACAAATACATCATGTCTCAACGATTTTTCCATCCAGACCCTCTAAGACCATTGCTCCAGTGAAAAGACAAAAAGTGCCAGGGCCCCACGACGGCCTTCTAGTAATCGCAGATCCAATGCCTGAAGACGACGTCTATCAAAAAGCAAAAAGAAATGGCTTTCAAGTAAGAAATAGTAATCTATTCTCACAATATAAACGCTGGTGTCAGAATTTATCAAAGTATTCATTCTGCTTCGCGGAAGAATAGTCTACATTGTTTTCATCGCTTTTTAAAAGAATTGAAATACAAAATAATTTTAGGTAGGTACATACATTTAAGTTGATGTTTGAAACTTCAACATAAAATCAGCTGACATTAATCAATTTTTCCCCCCTCCTTAAGCAAGCCGATTTTCAACGGACGCTGCGCTTTTTACTCTGATCTTCGGAATTAAAAGACCTGGCTATTTTTAGGTTCTAATTTACGACCCACGACAATTCCCCGAAATGAGCGGAGGTAAGGCCCAGTATCGTATAGCGCAGCCAAATCAAGTGGATGTATTACAAATTAAATCCATAAAGCAATATGCAGCACCTGAAGTTCATAATTATCCTCGTAGCACGGTATGACATTATGTTAATTAAAAAAAAACATCACGCGATGGATCATTGTTAATCTGTAGATTTAGATTAGATTGCACTAGCATTCTCATAGACACAACACACACACACACACACATTTACTTTATTTTATCATCATCAACAACCTCTAACAGTTCACTGCTAAGCTACTTCTTTTTGCATTAGAAACTAAGTTTAAGTCTATTTTTGACAGCACGCACGCCCTTTGGGGGCAGGAAGGTAACATCGGGATTCCCACACAGGAGGGGATTATCTATAAGCCGTAGATAGCCCGAGGTCCATCAGGGTATTAGGGCCTTTATTTCTTGGGTATATATGGTTCCCTGGCTACTGGTACTTGGAGATGGCGGGCGGTTTTTAGTTGGATCGAGTCCGACATAACCACCCCATTGGTGGCTGGTATCCCAGGGGAGTTCCGCACATGAAAAAAGGACAATTTTATCATTCATCTAAAACTAGCATTACAGTTACAACACCTTTATTATTAGTATCACCCTCTTTTATTTCCTTTAGGTCATCACCCTCAGCCTATCGCAGTCCACTGCAATCAATTTCGGCTTCTCGCATTCAGCTCCTGCCAGCCATCTTGCACAGATATATGCTAATATGGCCAGCCCACTGCCACTCCAGCTTGCTAATAATGCGGTGGGCTATGTCGATGGCCTTGGTTCTCTGCCGGATCACCTTTAGGTGAGACCGTGAAACCAACTACTTTCTTAATAGTTTTATCTTTTTTTTCAGCGCAAATGCCTCTTTCAAAATGAGCTTAAGAAGTCGTTTAACAATATGTACTCATATAGCGCATGTCTTGTTAAATGCCGGATTGAGACAATTAAATCACTTTGCAAGTGCATTCCATTCTTCTACCCCAGTAAAATAGATAATAATACAAAAATCTGTACACTAGGTCATCTGAGATGCCTCGATAAATTCCATGGTTAGTATCTAATAATTATAGGTGTTTTTATATCTGAAGTTGCTTACTTTTCACCAAAATTTGCTAAGCCGTTTAAAGCACCTGTTAAGAGACTTTCGCACAACTTTCGCGCTATGATCGAATAAGAAACGAAACATGTTAGAACGAGCACGAGCACTTAAGAGGAGCCTATTGCGAGGCCAAAACAAACACTTTTTTAAAGTTGTGACGTTCTTTTTAAGCGGCAAAGTGATTAATTAGTCATCAATGGTAAAGTCTGGGGAAATAACAATTAAGCCCCTACTAGCGCAAGTCCGTGGGTGACGATCCATTCTGCCCACGTCTAGCTACGCCACTGTTTGCCGATGTTGTCAATGTTTTCGTTTTCTTACTACTAAGCCTCGATAGTTCTCGATTCTCGTAGTTATCCACCATCGGGATTAATGTGATGTTCTATAGTTAAACCGCCGTAAGCTTGGCCCTCCTGATGGTTTGGGGGACGCGGGGCCGGGGTGCATTCAACCAATTAGCTAGTGCGTCGCTGTCCGCCGGCAGTGACTGACGTGAAAGCATGGCTGTACGTGTTATTTTTCTTAAGATTGCTACACACGGTATTATTTTGCAATATGGATAATCTGCCGACTCTGCGTCACAAAAAGATTTAAAAACTTGAAGTTCGGCTTCCAGAGGTTCTACTGTTAAAGTTCTAATAAAGAATATTTATTATTTTACTTAATTTTTAAATTGTATCTGAATATAATTTACATGATGAAGATAAGGTGATTTTATTAAAATTATTTTACAGTATTAAATTTTACAATTAATCATAAAAACTTACAATACACTGACATTATAATACATGGAAATAAATTCGATTTTTATTACATCGTGTGTAGATTAAATCTCAAACAAATAAATCTGAAGATATCGAGTTAGTACATTGTGTCATGTATAGCCGAGCGCATCACCCGCCCCGCGTCCCGCAAACCATCAGGAAGGCCAAGCTTACGGCGGTTTAACTATAATCTTAAAATACCATATAGGTACATACCTACCTACTTAATACATATTGTTAAATTGAAAATTTTGTTGAAATAAATGGCAATAAAGTTTTATTATTATTATTTGTAATTAATCATTTGTTTATTTCAGTAAAGCTTTTGTATTTGTATCCACTGGATACAATAAGTTCGGTCGGCTTGGAGACTGAAATCGCGGATTCTTTATATTGTCCTAATTGTCTACCAGACTGTGAGCTAACAAAACATTTTACGAGAAACATCAAAGTATCAATATCGAAGATATCTCGTCTGGGATTTGGCAACAATTTTGTGTACGTAGAAACTGTAATCGGTAAACATTTTTTTTTTCATAATACAAAATGCAAAGGCGTGGAGAATGCGGGAACCATAGAGTAAGGTGGACTGTTGAACTATGGAACACTAAAAATGGGGCCCAAAGGATCATTTGTTTTAACAGTTAGCAGTCTCCGTTTTATCAAGCATGTAGGTAACTTTAATGGGCATCGGACGTAATTTACAGTTTTTGCCTGCTTCTGCGTGACGCTAATGCAATCTGTGGTAAGGCGGGAGGTTAACGAGTAGGTCCTAAAGCAATATATCGAATATCTGCAAAAGTTGAATTAAGGAATATCATATTGCTTTATTGTGCACCACTCTTTCACTGTTGGACACTTCAATAGTCCAGTCAGTTACACAATATTCCTTAAATAAATTATTGTATAAAAATTATTTACCTCTCGTTTTAAAACATGATCTGCATCGAACAAAACCTAAAATACTTAACTAATTGACCTTCTTTTAAAAATAATCATGAATATAGGCGTTTAATATGGACCGAGGATAAGCTAAATGGGAGAGCCCTTTGTCCAGCAGTGGACTGCGACAGGATCATAACGATGATGAGGATAAGGAATAAAACTTTTTTACTATTCCAGTAAATAATACTTACTGAATATCCATGCTTTAAAAAATGCGTTTTTTTTCAGTGACGGCGTTAATATTACTAATAAGTGTGTTTTGAGTATCTACCATCCTGTTTCTATTGGCATATTACATCGTCTGGATGTTATGGCGTACTGGTATGAAATATTGAGTAAGCTATTAGATCTTTATTTATATCAACTAAAATAATTTAATTGACATTTAATTACATTTTCAATTGAAATGGTTTTCATTGCAGGTAGCATTGGTGGTTTTAGCGGTATGGTAATGGGAATTGGTTACTTTACATTTGTTGAATTTTTTTATTTTCTAATAATACGATTCCCACAAAATCTTTATTTTATTTATAAAAAATTTCATTAAAACGAAAATTATATTTTTTTATTGGTCATCTGTAGATTGGAAAAATATGTATTTTTAGCGAATGGGACTACCGTGTGTTTACGAAGATAGTTATTGTTTTGACACAAGAGCAACTCGTCTACGTTTTTCATCAAACTAGTAATATACCGAAATGTGTTAAGTTTTATTATATTTATGCTACCAAAGTTAAAATGAAATATATCTTAAAGATAAATGCACAGAGGACAAAGTACAATTTCGAAAATAATTGCGGATAAATATATCTCAACCTCATTACTTTTACGCTCAAGCTAGCCTCTAGAATGCACGCTCGCTATCTGTCAAAGAAACCGTGGCAAAGCTGGACAAAGGGTTTGAGTCGCAATTCGATTTATTTACGTAAAATGTCTGCAAATTCACCGCCTGGAAAGAGTGATGGTAAGATGATAATAACATTACTACAGTATGTAACGATTATATAACCTTGGTATTCGTCTAATTTTGATATTATTGTAGGCGGTGATCCGCAAGATAATAGGTCTTTGCCAAGCGTCCCGCCAAATGCTATGGAAAACTTAGGTGCTCGGATACGGGATCTGGATGTGGATTCGATTCGTCGGTATTTGGCTCAGAAACTGGGATTTTACGATCAGATCGAATCGTCAACGTCTTCTGAAAAAGTTCTAGATGAGGTTAGCTTGGAAGGTATAGTAAATTGGATCAAAAGCGAGAGGTGTAAAAATATTATTACACTAGCCGGCGCTGGCATTTCAACATGTAAGTATTTTTTCCTTTTTAATAATAAAAATTGGATTTGTTTGCTTAATATAGGATCTATAATCCTTTGCTTATGTATAATTTGACATTTTGTAAACAAGAAGTTCCAAATTTGTCCTAATTGTTTTTATCAAAATCCCATAACACTTAGGAGGATTTTGTAAAGATTATTTATTAAAATATTTTAGTATAATGTTATTTTAATATTTTTAACCAATAATTTTGCTACTAGAAAACCTTTTTCAATTTAGGAATGGCCAAAACTTTACCTGTATAAAAGAATAATATTGGTATGATTATTGGTAATCTATTTAAAAAATATTAAAGGCCTATGGAAGCTTCACATTAGGTAATTTGTTGTGCAGTCGTTCCAAATATGAAGTTAATATTTTTGTTGTTAGGGTAATCTATTAAAGCAGAAAATTTTCCTATTACATTAGTAATCCAATTAAATAAAATCCTAATAGTGCATGAATCAAATTAATATCATTTGATCATGGTAAATAGTGCTCTATTATCTGTGCATGGGGTGTTATAATATTAAGTACAAAGTCCGTTAGTCATTTTATAATTATAAAAAATGTAAGAGTTTCACTAAACCAATAATACTTCTACAAACCCACAAAAACTTGTAGCATATCCAATATCATATATCCTTTTTACATTTCCCTTAGCTATTCTCAGTTTTGAAGTTTCCATATATTATAAAATAATTGTAAATTTTGTACATCATAAAACCTTCAACCAGTCACCTGTTTTTAATTTAAAAAAAGCCGTGTGGTGGCATGGAACACCCGATATTAACAAAGTTCCTTATGCTATTTCATTTATAAGTTTTGGGCAAGGTATGTTAAAAATATAAATAATTTGCTTATAAATTGATATTAAAAAAAATGCATCATGTTTCAATCGCCGATGCGTTGTTCTCGAGTTATTAAATAAAAATGTGCAATTTAATTAGATGGATTGCTTTCTCTCTTTCGCTCTGCAAGCAGTGAATGCAGCCACATCGTCCCATAAGGAACTTTATTCCAATAACACACTTTGGAGGATTTTTATATATATGGCTTATAATATTAATGATATTTTAAGGAAAAACGAACATTTTAATTATGTATTTAGTAAGTATAATGAATTGATGTCATGTTGATCGTAGGTACATGTAGACAATGGAAAATTATTATCATTATTTGGGTAACCAAGGTCAACAAAGTGTTGGTTTAATAGTAACTTAGTAGTTGAGTAATAAGTTTTCATGATGATTCATACCAAACGCAAATATTTTGTGTCCTTGTTACTTGGTCCATAACTACATCTCACTGTTTCCTGATAGTTAAAATTTTCGTTATAAAGGTTTTGAAAATTTTTGACCATCTCTCTTAGGTATTGCAATATCAAATCAGCCTTATCGCAGAAGCCATTTATTTGATACTGCTATATCTTCTGTACATCATAACATTTTACATTTTGTGTACTATGAAGCCTGCAAAACAAAAACACAACTCATCCTTTACCAAACGATTGCTGAAACTTTGGAAACATGATAGGTTCTTACATTTATCATCATCAACAGTCTTTAATATTCCACTGCTGAACTTACTTACTTAATAAAGAAAGCAGATTTGACCTACTTACTGGTATATGATTTGTTTAAAGTTTTTTTTCTCTTTTTAGTACTGTTGTCCTGTAGAGTTTGCTCCCTTTAGTCAGCTCTTACGACACCCTCGGGATGAATAGGGGTGACACTCCATATTCTTAATCCGTCACCACATGGACTGTTACACTTACATTTATGGTACATCTTCTCTTTTTAGCTGCAGGAATTCCTGATTTTAGAAGCCCTGAAACTGGCCTGTATCACAATTTGCAGAAATATGACCTTCCTGAACCACAAGCAATATTCGAAATTAATTTCTTCAGGCAGAATCCAAAGCCATTTTTCATGCTAGCCAAAGAACTCTATCCAGGAAGCTTTAAACCTACACCATCACACTACTTTATAAGGCTTTTACATGAGAAAGGTGAGGGTAATAAATTAACATGATCACTTATTTATACCTACTTTCTTAAGTATACATCTGTAACTAGTATGTAAAAAAATATAAATAGTATTATATGTTACTGCTAATGTCCGTAAATTAGTGATATAGATTAAATTATTAATCTGCCAATTATCTGGTTGAGTTCATCAAAGTAGGCAAAATTGTTTCAGTTCTTACATTTACTAGACAATCTAAGGATTTCCTAGGAAATCTGCAGACTAACGACCAAGCATATACTTAAGTTTGGATTAGGTTAGAACAGCGACCGCGAAAGCGGCAAGGCGAGCGATCGGACTGCCGAGCGCCAGATCCCCTTAATTATTGAAGAATCATTAAGGATAGATGACCATATGATGTTGTGGACAAAATTACTTTGAAAGGTTTCAGACTTTAAAGGATCATAAATGGTGATTTGCAGATTACCTAGTCAATGCGCATATTAAAGTATTTTGCATCTATTGCGAACATATACAATATCAGGGAACATTACTTAGGTTGGTTTTACTAAAAATCGAAAATCTCGTACATTGTAATAATAATAAGTAGCCTTGCTATAATTTAAATGAAGTTACATTTATTTTTAATTACTACAACTTCTGTTATATTTAAAATATGGATGTCAAACTGTGTGCAAGCAGCAACAAAGTAACAGGAATTTAAAATAGCTTTCAAACTAGAAAGGGTACCATTAGTAACGCAGAACGACCTCCGTCCTCCATAAGCGCAGGCCTGGGGCCAAGGTGAGGCCATCTGTCACCCTAGCAGAAGCAGGCCGGGGTAGCGGCGAGCGCGTTGCGAAGCGCGCTCGCTTCCAGGGAGCACAGGGAACATGGGGTTCCCACACGGGGGGGGTCGTCTACTCGTCTGTAGATGACCCGAGGTATGTCGGGGCACCAGGGACTTCCTTTCTAGGGTATACCTGGTTCCCCGGCTATTAGTACCCGGCGAAGGCGTGCGGTTTTAGTCGGTTCGAGTCCGACATGCCACCGACAGGTGGTATCCGAGGGGATTTCCGCACGGAAAAAAAAAAAAAAAAAAAAAAGGGTACCATTAGTAAAGACTTACTGTTAGGCACTAAAAAAAATTAAAGTTCAGATGATTTACAACATTCTGTGTTTCAGGATTGTTGCTTCGCCATTACACACAAAACATAGACACTTTGGAGAGGTGTGCTGGTATTCCTGAAGAGAAACTAGTGGAGGCACATGGCACATTTTATACCTCACACTGTCTGGATTGCCGTAAGGAATATCCACTTGAGTTTGTTAAAGGTACTTATGAGCTGATCATTACTCTGACTTACTTTTCCAAAAGCTAGTCTATATATAAAACACAAAAATCATTTCTAGCTATGTCTGTAATAGACCTTAAAACCATCTAATTGATGTGCCCAAAACTGGTTTCATCAGAGAGACAACAATGCAAAGGTAGTTGAGAATGGAGTCCTTTTCTTTCTAAATAAATAAACAAAATGTATTTCTTTTTTAGCATAGTAAGCACATGAATTATATCCAGAACCAGAAGAGACTCTTTTTGACTTTAAAATAAACATTTCCAGGGTTACTTATTGAGAAAAATCTTATTTGATAAATTGTAATCAAGAATAATGGTAATCATTCCCCTTAGGTAATAAACGCTATCAAAAATAATTGAACATGGAAATACTAATTAATAATAATGATGGTTATTTTTTTCAGAGCACATTTTCACAGACCAGATTCCAATATGTACAGTATGCCCTGGTATTGTCAAGCCTGACATCGTGTTCTTTGGGGAGAGTCTACCAGAGAGGTTCCAAAGATGTCTACAGGAAGACTTTCAACATTGTGACATGCTGATCATTATGGGATCTTCTCTTGAAGTCCAGCCTTTCGCTTCACTCATAGATATGTATGTATGAAATAATTAATTCATTAAGAAACTACATAATTATCTTCTGTATACTGTAGGAGACACTGATACTCTGATATGTTTGAATGTGTGAACATTTTATGAAGTTATAATTCTTTAAATACTCGAAACTTTATACACTTGTACTTTTGTGCATTATCTACATTGTCTTTTTATATACCACTAAAATCATTTTAAATTCTTATCAAATTTAATTAAATTCAAATTATTTGTTAAAACATCTTTTATACTTCTACGGCTTTTATTATTCAGATGTCAACATTGCCCATTTATGTGCTACTACATTTTTTGTGTCACTTTGTTAACTTCAGGTTTCTCACACATCTAACTGTAATCTAAATGATATTCTAGTTTACGGGTTCAATTCGGCACATGTTATTGACGGGCCTGTTGGTCTAGTGGTTAGTGATCCTGAGTGCTAAGCCGGAGGTCGTGGGTTCGATTCCCACCCAGGACAAATATTTTGTGATGAGCAAGATCATTTGTTCTATGTTTGGTTGTAATTTATCTATAATATGTATGTATTTAGAACTATATAAGTATTTTTATCAGCAGTCTGCTTTCCACAGTACAGGCTCTGCCTAGTTTGGAATCAGACTGCCGTGTATTAGATGTGTGTAGTTATTATTATTATAATTGCTGGGCTAGAACTTATTGGGTTTTTGTGTTAAGTAATAATTAATTAGTAATTTGGAAACTGTGGGTCTTATACAGCGGCCTTAGCCTTAATGGTATGAGTACATATGTATAAAATATTTACACAACACCCAAATCAGTTACACTTCCTTTAAAAGTAATAATAAACTATCAGTGAAGATTTTCACCTGTATTTACATCTTCTAACTAGAGTTCAAAACATAATCTACACACAAATAAATGCGAAAGTAACTGTCTCTGCTTGAGTCGCTTGTTCACGCCTTAACTACTAAATCAATTAATGAGATTTTGCGTTCAAAAGCCATTAGAGAAAAGCCACGGGCAATTTCCACTATGGCAACTTTTTTGTTGTAATCATTTATCCAGCCACAAGCACAGCCCTATTAAGTCATATATCTTTTCAGGGTACCTGATTGGTGTCCACGTCTCCTCATAAATCGTGAGAAGGCGGGTGTAAGGTCACCCTTGTTGAGGCTGTGGGGGGTGATGGGAGGAGGTTTACAGCTCGATGATGATTCAGTTCGTGATGTCGCAAGACTCGGTGACTGTGACGACGGCGCTCAAGATCTTGCTGATAGGCTTGGCTGGGGAGTAAGTATTTCATATAAATTACTATTCTGGCATGCATGACTGGCAGCTAAGTCAAAATAGGATACCACTTCCGAAATCCATGAGGACAGCGGGTGCGCTTTCGCGACTGTTGCCCAACTTAGGGGGCTTATGGTATCGCATCCGCGATCCTATTTAGGCAAATACCCTGGAATCATTATAACAATGACGCAATGAGCGGACCCTGAGAACTAGACCTTGCACGTTACTCTAGCAGAAGCTGGCCTGAGACGGTGGCGCGGCGTGTTCTGCGCGCCTCTCTGAGCCGGTAGGAGAACAAGGCCCTCTGCACTCAATAGTAGTTGCCTGTGGAGGCCAAGGGCTGCCGAAGTTCTCTGTGAGATCCATCTAAGGTATACCCGAGTGCCTTGCAATAGACTCACGTGTAACGGAACTCTGTGAGTCCCGGTGAGGTGATTACCCGTGGAGGTTTCACACGATAAAGATAACAATATTATTTAAAAAGACATTCCAAATCGTGTTCGAGGTAATGCTAAGGAGCCATTCCTAAAATATGTAATAATTAAGTATGAATAATGCACTATTCCAGGACGAACTGCGCGCTCTAGTGGCGAGCGAACATGAGCGCCTGGACCGTGAAGGCCGTGTCCCCGCGGCTTTTCCGTCGCGGTCGGGCTGCACACCAGTCTCGACCACTCTAACTGAGCACAAACTATGAGTATGAGTTTAATTTAGCCTTATTTATTTACCTTCTTATTTAGTTATCGTTACAAAGGTCTCCCTCACTTCTTGACATTCGTTATTTAACTTCATTCGAGCCGCATAATAATATAAATACATATATATATATTATAAACATATAAAATAGAAATATACAATAATATTAATAGTATAGCCTGCCCTTTCCCAGAAAGAAAACAAATAAATTAACTGACATCTTTTAAATAATAAAAAAAATATGTCTTATATTCTTTGTTACTAGATAGAAATGAAAGCCTGATTAGAGGTTTTGGTAAATAAACGTAGTGAGACAGTAAACTGTTATAATTTAAGGCTAAAAGATCTGGAACCGAGTTATGAAGTGTTAAAGGGCAAAATTTACTCAGTTAATGGTTTCTAATGCAATGTGTATTTTATTCAAGCTTTACAATTTTGGCTGTTGCTTAATCGAAGAAGTAAACAGGAATACTTGATTTTATTTTAGAAAATGGGATGTTGACACTAATAACATATTTTAATATTATTTCATGATGTTTTAAAACATAAAAACTTTTATAATTGTTAAAAAGAAAAAATAAATTAATATGGAAATATGTACTTTAATATTGTCACTTCATCTCTGATCTGATCAATGATCTCTAATCTCTGATTTGTCAAATTCATTTCTGTTCATACGTCACTAACCGAGGACTAAATTGGAGTTTTGCGTCAGTTGGTATGATAATATTAATTAATATAGAATATTATTTTGCGTTACATAATGGCCTACAGATAAAAAAAAGCTGTCAACATCCCTAGTAACCGATTCGAGGCCACTGCCGCGACAGGGGCGTCATGTATTTTTTTTTATTTTTTTGAAAACACGTTAAAACTAAATATTAACAATGTAACTACAGTGTTAAACCCCAATAAAAAATGTTGAAGTCAATTTCTTGTGTGGCCATTAATTAGAGAAATATAAAAAACAAGTCTGAGGTTTTAAAACTATTTTTATAGCCTAATAAGTTGTTTATTTTTACTCACATTAAAAATAAGCGAGTGGTGCTTTTCACTTTTACCTCAGTGTAACTACATTATTACCGTACTTTGCATACAGCGTGTATTTTTAACTGACTTCAAAAAAGGAGGGGTTCTCAATTATGTTGATGTCAGTATTTAGTTCGGCTGTTTGTTTTGCACATAATGCGTCAAAATGTTTTTGACGGCACAACCATTCAGGACTCGTTTTGGTTTTACTTAATTTTAATTTTATTTAAATTTTCTTTTAAAAGTCTTCATCTTCATCAGTATCAATATTTTTCTTAAGGCTTACTGTCTGTTGATTCTGAAACTGCTTTTAGACAAGTACGAGAACTATCAAATTTCCTTGTCAATGTAACGTTTTGTAATATTGACCGATTCAGGAAAACTTTCATTTTCTTTACTGTAATCTCTCTGACAATATTCATCTAAGTTCGTAAATAGTGTTTAGCTACATTCATAAAAGTTTCCATTATGTTGTTGATTATCTGCAGTAAAACAAATATATACATTTGCATTTAGGACTTTTATAAAAAATCTTCAACTATAATAAGTAACAATCGCGTAAACTCGCATTCATTGACATAATATCGAAGTTAATATCATTAAATATTTCAGTCAATTTATCAAAAATGTTTACAATCACATTTTAAATTCAAATTTCCATTAGCACAAAGAAAGAACACGAAACCAATTTTTCCTTTTTAGATTTTCGCGAATTAACATTGAAACGTGAAAACATGCCGAGTGGCAAATGACGCCGGTAAAGCGTCATCGTTTATCAAGGCCAATGATGTCTCTGGCGCGGCATCGAACGAACGTTTGGGCCCGTGCTAATAATGAACCAAAATTAAAATGGCGATGAATCGGTTAATATATTATTCACTAATCACTAAGTATTTATCCACTTATAGCTTTGTCGATTGGTGATGCAGACCTTAAATTATTTTTATCATAAAGTAATAGATAACGTCATTAATAGCATATTTTTTAAATATCGGAGCTTAGTATACATACATATAAAATGTCTGCATAATTTTGATCATAATTGAAAAAAAAATGACAAAAAGTATAGGTACAATTCTGATGAAACTCAATGATATTCAGAATATTAAAGCGACTATCGCATGGCAGACGAACAAATTATTAAGCATATGAATGAAATCTGAAAATACTATAAGTTAAACAAGGACTCACCAATATATTCATTGAAAAAAATCGATTAGCTACGTAACAATCCTATCTAATTCATAGTTAAACACAAAAAATCAACCATTGCTTTCTATAACTTATTTTTCAATATCCAAATAGAAGAACTTGAATATCTTGTAGAAATTTTATACAAAAGATACTAAAAGTTAATGGTACTTATGAAACACAAATGTGATTGACATTGATTAAGCATCTGACATACTTAATTCATTCTGTTTTTTGTTTGTTCGGCCGATAATAATGACGTTTTTTTTAAATCATGTCTATTTTTAATTTATAAGTTTAACCAAGGGGGAGCCTATAGACCCTCACTCTTACCTACAATACAACAAATTGTGTATTTAGATTTTAGATAAATTAAAACATGACAATACAGTCTGTGTTGTAAATTTTGTCAACTAATGTTTTTCGGTTCTGTAGGAGTAATTTATAAAATCGATCAGTATCGATCAAGCCCTCACCCTGAACAATCGGGTGCCAAGGTTGTTGAAACCTAGGCACCCGATTGTTAAACCAACCTGATTGGTCAAGTGGGGCTTGACCGAAGCGTCACTATTTTAATAACTTAAATTGTTGTTTGACTTATTATTACTATCGGCCGAAAGAAAACGAGATGGTGTTATTTATGCCTCATATTCATATAGGTTTTAGACGTAATTTATTTATATTTATTGTAGTGATATGGGAATATGTACTTTGTGATTAAGTTATTTTTATGAGACGTGTGTTAAATTATCAAGTGCAAATTGTCTAGCTACGGCGACCAACGCCTCGTCAAAACATTTTTAGTCGGTAAAATTTCAGATACTTTCTTATAATCTGGATTGTTTATCTGTTGATTTTGTTATAAAATTATTCTGTAGTAAATCAGAATTATAACGCGGGTATATTATCTTTACATGTTTCGTCGACTAGTCATAGTAGCACACAGGTCATTTCGATGAGGATATTGAGGTGTGAATTTTAATATATGAGTTTTTGAAAATTAAGAAAATATTCATGTTATAAGTAGCAACTTGTTGATGGTATTCCAGTACATAACTGGACTACTATCAACAAGTTGTTGAGTGTGAACTTCATAAAACTCTACTTTCGCACGCTGTAAATAAATATTTTCTGTAATCATTTATAAATATATATAAAAATATTGTTCTGCTAAATTTGTTGTGAGTTGGTTGGATAATCGCTTGTGCGAAGCGCGTTAGAAGGTTACAAGTATCCTCATTGAAATGAATGTTTACATATTTAGTACATTAGATTATATTTAAAACAATTTTAAGTAAGTAATCTAGACATTGCATGATCAATATCTAAATTTTATTATAGCCACTGAATTTTCACAGTATGTTTTTTTATTGATACCTATTTATTTTATGTGATTTGTGCATTTTTATGGTGTATTCCACTAAGTTCACCTGGGTGATATCACACGGGTGAATGAAGTAGATTTTTTGATTTTCTTTTTTAACCTTGGCAGAATTTCACCTAGGTGAAATAATTGAACAAAAGCGAGGGGCCTTTGTTCACCTAGGAATATATTCACTTTTTTTATTCATTTTTTTTATCACCCACATAAATCATGATAATAAAAACTTTCAATTTGCAGACAACCTTTTGCAGACAACATTAAACTGATGTAATCATCAGTTTAATGTTCATTACACAATTTGGGGACATCATAATAAGTCACTATTAATATTAAATAAAATATTAAATTATTATTGATTGATATTGAGTTTCAACATATATAGGTAATGAACAAAATACAATTATTAATAACTACTAGCGACTTGCTCCGGCTTTCTGTAAATTTGAAAGGCTTTATGTGGGTAATAAAAGTACACAAGATGAATAAAAAAAGTCGCCTTTGTTCAACTGGGTGAATCAATTCCAAGGTGACCAAAGACTTAGCTTATGAGTCGCTTGACTTCAAACTCAGATAAATCCAATTTTGAGAATTTCCAAGATTTTGGTATCAAAAGAAAGGGAAAAAAACAAGCTTTCAAACAATTTAGTCAGTTGTGACGGCAAAGTTTTTAAAAATAACCTTTAAATTAAAAATATTTTATCAAAATCAGTTAGATCCATGAGTCAATTGTAGATAAGTCCATCCGAGTCAATCAACGAATTGCATTTTTTCAACATGGACGTCAGTCGACGTAAACTCTGCGACAATAGCATAGTACTATCTTCCTTTTTATTGCTTATTTTTTAAAACTAGCGAGTTCCAATAGATAATTCTATTAAAATTGTGTCACTAAACAAAGCCCGCCAACGGGCTAATATAAAAGTCTGCCGTAAGAAAGAGGAAGGATCGAAAATTAGAGATATTTGAATTACCTATCATGCGTCGTTTGGACGTCCTGAGTTGGCACTTTATTTTTACTTATACTTGATGTTAAGTTAGCGTGGGCTAACAATCATCCTACGAACGATTGCGTTCGTTCTGTTCTGCTGTAAGTCGGAAATAGACACGAAACGTGCTATGTCCATACCTGCAGGTAATACTCTGCGCGCATTCCTGTTGTCAATCCATTGCTGTGGTATGACCCAAGGTACGGCTTGAGTTGCCTGTTCGACGCAACACCAGTTAGCGTTGCTTTGTCCAATAGGCTCTTTCATGAGCTGCTATCCCATAATATAGGTAGCTCCGAAAGTCGTGATGGGGCTCGCGTTTGCTGAGGTTGGTCTGACGACTAACTGTCCAGCTCGCGTTTGCGTTCACGTTCTCATCAGTCGGTTTTGTTCTGATGAATTGTGCACTATCTCCGTCTACTGTTAGTGCCTCCAGTTTGACTTTCTCGTTTCGGAACGTTGGTGATCCGGCGAAATAGTCGCTGACGGCTTGCAGTAGTCTGACGTTGAGTCTAGTGCCTGCGATTTGCTCTTCGAAAGTGGTTGATCTAATACCCACTGATTCCAGTAGTATCTTCACTTCTTCCTTTCTTGCGCCTATCGCTCCGAAATACCCATTCAAAGAACAAGTAGCTCGTCTGTTGGCTGGGAGTACACGGAAGTTAGGTACGGGGTGTGCCTCGTCCGATGTCTCAGCCATTAGTATATCTCCACAGATCTCTTCGTAGAGATTATGAGATGCTGCGTCTATAACGGCGGAGTGATAACCACCTAGGCCTTGCTGAACTACTCTTGGTAGGGCGTGGTCTGCTAGACTGACAGTTTTACCGGTCAGGTCTTTGACCTCACCTATTCCTTTTAAGAATAGATACAGCGGCTGCGGTATGTTATATTCCTGCGTTTCCATAGCTTTGCAGAACTCAATTTCTTCAAAAGGCAAATTTGCGTTTCCGCGTTTGGCTTTTATGTCTAGCAAGCGTGTCCAGAGTATGGCTGTAGTGTAATAGATAAGCATACTTTTGGTCATTTGCTTGTTGACGTTTTTGTCATCTCCACCTAAGGCAGAGTAGACTTCCTCCACGATGTCAGGCAGTCTTCCAAATGTCGGACTGGTCTCCTGATTTATCTGGAGTTCTCGCACTGAGACGTCGATGCCAAACACTGAGTCAGCCCACAGAGGGGTGTTTTTCATCGGTGTTGGGTTTTTCGATTTGTCCAGAGCGGTGGGCAGTGCTACTTCTTTAGAGGTAGGTCCCGCTTTCTTTTAGGGTTTGGCGCCTTCGGTTTTCTTTCCAACTTTCGTTGGGTCAAACTTTTCAGGTTTGCCTCGATAGCCTGGGGCTATGCGTTTAATCTCTTCTTTGTGTAGAGTTTGGTTTCATTCGCGTTTGCGTTCATTTTCAATAAATTCTCTTTAGCTTTCGGCGTAGAATAAATTGGGGAATAGAATAAAAATAAATTCACTAGTGTTGTGCTAACCATTATCGAGGTATCGATTATCTATCCTTTGGTTTTCTACTGTTACAGAATAATCTGGATGTAAAAATCATGTATAAATTCAATATCATTACATATTACATGAACTGTCCGAACATATTTGTGTAGATATACCGAATCAAAATGTAAGTTTTAAAATATTAGTGCCTTGTGGAGTTGGCCGTCTGGTTATTTTGAAATTTTATTTTTTTGGGAGTTCAACTCCTTAACAATGAATTTTCATATAAGGCGCCCGGTATGAACAAAATATGAAGAATAAAATTTTGATATCGAATGACCTCTTTACGTTTTTTGTGCGTAAACTATCGTGCGCACCTTTCACTTTTTAGTAATGTGTGTATATCTTGTTTACTTGTGTGCAGCCGAATCGTTCATAAGGAGTAAACTCCAGTGGTGCGTCGGATCTGATACACACAACCTTTTTTTTATATGCCATACGCTATATACAATGTGTCAGGTTTTGATTTTGGTAAAAAAATAAATACTTACTCTTTTTTTTATGACTTAATTTCCCCATTTGGTCCGTATTTTTTTATGATATAATAAGTTAGATATCACTAATTTTACAGTCGACAGTATTCCGTGATTTTGCCACTACCACATCCCTAGTTATATTCGTATTTTTTTCAAATCCTATAAATCCACACTGAATTTTTACAAAGATAGGTAAATCGCATTCAATTATATCAAACGACGGTAAATCCAATCTAAATATTAATTTTTCTAAACAACTGGTCGTTTTCATAATAAATTTGCTGAACAGAATCGTTTTCTTCAATACTGTTGTCATAATAATATAAGACTGACTTTCAAATCATCGTATTAAGATCATTATCAGTTTTTCTTCGATATCTCCTAAGAGATTAGAGTGGATTTATCCGAGTTTGAAGTTAAGCGACACTTATGTCGAATTATTTCACCTAGGTGAAATTCTGTCAAGGTGAAATGAGGAAACCAAAAAATCTACTTCTTTCACCCGAGTGATATCATCTAGGTGAGCATAGAAGAATAAACCATTTTTATTTACGATTTAAATTTATCTTCCATTTTGTGTAGAATTTGACAGTAGTAGTATAACAAGTCTTTAGATACAGATATGTATGTAGCTATAAATATATTATCTTGTGCTATAAAATCAATGAGTGAATTTTGTAGCAATATACAGTTATTTTTATAAGTGTGTAGAATGTAGTCTTACAGTGAATTGGCAATATATGCACATATTAAAACCACAAGAATCACTCCATTTTTTTCTAATACTAGTCTTGGTTAAATTACTCTTAACACCACATTACAATCTTTCTCTATATACCAGACCAAGTTCCACGTTTCACGTCCGAAGCATGACGTTACATAGCCCATGACTTTCTTAAAAGATTCTATGCAATACAAAAATAATTAGGTTAAGATGATTCAGATTTATTATAATAAGGATTTTGTATTGATACGAGTATTTTGCGTTACATAACTATCGCCTGTCGAATATTGCCAATTTTGCTATGTATTTTCATCTTACCTTTGAATTATTGGAATCAAGGGGGGGTTGAATTTTTAAGAATGGTAATATAAGGATATTTGTACGGTAAAAATTAGTAGGGTTTCGGGTTAACCAAGTAAATTTATTTATTATTTGAAATCAGAGGGACAGTTGGAAAGATGTATGACCAATATGAAGTGTATGTTTCTTTTCATACACGTATTTCCATAAACGTATCTATCTTCTAAGCTAGCATGCTACTTGGTATCCCTAATTTAAGTCAGGTTGATGATTTTGATATTTGGGTGTTCATGTTCATCATCAGTTCACCGGTTGTATGTATCTCAGGTTTGCAGTGACCTGATAATTAAGGACTGATTCCTGTGGTTTAATTACAAAATATATATTCTTACAATAAGCAATAAGTGTGTGCCCATGAGTGATACAATATTATGTAAATAACTTATAAAAATTAATTACAAAATACACATTTTATGTAGCAAAGGAGTATGAGATGCCGACACTTCGTTTTTTTTTGTCAGCCACGTAAATCTAGGTACCTAAGATCTGTATTTAAAAAAAGAATGCTGTAGTCCATTCGCATTAAAAAAATAGTTACGCATCGATCAAGACCCGCCTCCTGGCCAACCGGGTCCCAAGAAATTATTTTTTCGTACGAATACTCGGAACCTGATTAGTCAGGGTGAGGGGCTTGATCGATGCGGCACTATTATCTTCATTCGAATGGATTATAGTGACGTGGGTCACAAATTACTAGATTTTTAACCCCTCCAGCTAAGCTAAAGGCTTATGTTAGGAGATGGTCCGCCGCAACCGCTTGATCGCAAGTACAGATTTTTGTCAGAATAGTACTATGATAATATTTCAGGCAATCTTTTGCATACTTGCTACATTTCATTGTATATCTTTGTCAATTTAAATATTATATTTGTTACAAATCTAATAAAAGTGATTGTATAACAATATTTCGAGAGAAGCGCATAATGATATTTTAAAATGTTATACTGCTGTTGGTACTTGCAATTCATATAAACTGTTGTATGCCATTAAAAAAATAAACGCATTATGATATTTCAATACTTTTATTTAGCTTTCATTTTAACATTAAGGATTGTTTATTTACAACGACAATGGTTTAAAAATTAAAGTAATAAAATAACACATGCCTTAGACAATGGTATAAATGTTTCAATATTTTGTAAATTCATATCTATGTTAGGTCTCTATATTCTATTGTTAGCTAGCTACTTTAAATCAGACGTATTTTACAAACTTTTGCGCAGCAACAATAAACTATGGGCAATAAACAAATATGATATACATCCAGCCACTACAACACAAAATGCATATTCTTAAATAGCTTCGAAGTTTAGTTCTGACGCAAATTGTCTCTGTATACTTTACGCACTAGGAGAATGTTTTTAAAGGTTTCGGATAGATATCAAATTGTAGTTTTCAAAAATAATAGGAGCTACTTGTTTAGTGAAACCAAGTTAAAAATAAGACTGGTGAAGAAATTAAACTAGTCAATATTAAAAAAAAACCGGACCTGTGCGAGTTCAACTCACGTAAAAAGGAATTATTACGATGACAAAAATATAGTTCAAAATCTGTACCAGTCGTGTTCGTTATAATGGATGTAATGCATTTGATAGTTGAGGCAACCATTTTTTATTTACAAACTTGTTTGTCTGATGTGAGGTAATTTGATTAAACACATTGTACTGCAAACATATATGTATATTATTCTTTTGCATCTGTGATACCCTCAGTGCTAATTGCAAACATTGCTTCAGTTTCTGGTAGACAAGGACTGTCATATATCTTACATATCCGGTTGTCTCCCCGTCCCTTCCTCAAGTAAAGTCGCGTGGTGGACGCGTGAGCAATGATGTGCCCTCCGATGGGCTTCTTTGTGTCAGCGTTGAATACGCCCACAGCATCCACTTGGGCCACTACCTGGTTTGTTATTATTACTGCTACGCCGAACTGTTGTACAGAAAGGAAACACGTAAGAATATATTATTTTTAAGAAGAATCTTGTTAAAATACCTATGATCAATAGAAAACCGGATCGAAAGAAATATGCGCAAATTCGTAATAGGTACCTGAAAAATAGGTTTTACTACCAGGTTGCACCGGCCGTGGTCACAGGCTTACAGGAGTCAGCCTGTGACCACGGCCGGTGCAACCTGGTCGAAACGTCAGGCAAACCAGAGGTATGTAATACCCTAAATAAGAGATCGCGTTAATTCCCGTTAAATAATATTAATTATCATGGAACGCGAAAGTTTAAAAGTTAGGTTTTACTATATTCCTTTATAGATTGACTCTGATTTATTTTAACACTGTTAATGATGAAAATATGATAAAAACATTAACTTCATCACCATACAATTGATCGACACATAAATTCATCCTAGAACTTCTTATTGCAGCTCGATTTTGATCTTTATCGATTACACACAGGTGCAGACTCAATCAGAAATCACAGTCATAACCTGGGCAAGGAACCAGCCTTGCCAACTGCCAAGCCAACTAGTTTGAAGTTCGACGCTGTGGCAGCGCTGTACGCAAGGCTGTTTCCTTAGAGAATAGCACTGCTGATGTGCCCTCACAGAACAGTTCCTTACCTCATCAGCTAGTCTCAATAACATCCTCATGAATCTGCCAAGATGTAGTTGCCTTGAATTCAATTCTCCACGGCCTGAATAGTCAGTTCTGTACAATGCTGTAGCACTGTCTACTATTATTAAGGAATATCTGAAAACCAAATTAATCAGTGAAGTAATGTGATAATATGCAGTACTAAAGAGCCAACAACGGATAGACAAGAAGAAAATATTCATTTAATCCCCAATTTACTGGTAAGGTAAATTAATTATGGTACCACTCCATATTTCATTTAAATACTTTCTCGGCGTGAAAAATATGTATACTCTTGCTACATTACACCTTAGTCTTGAATCTTTAAGCTCGTCACGGCCAGGCTCAGGTGGTGAAATTGTTTAATGCAAATAAACATAACAGTAATGAAGATGTAACAAAAGTAGCAAGTGCGAGTTTTCGGTTGGTCTAGGCTATTGTAGCCATGGTAATCCCTGTACCCTGACTTATAGTATAAGTCAGGGTACAGGGAATATATCGATGACCTATAGGTCATCGATATATTCCAGCGTGTGGTGGGCGGAGTCCCCCCAGTCGGCCGCGCAGCGCTGGCATTGTGCCGCCATTAAAATGCAACTGTCAATACACAATCTGTTTTAATAAATTTTATTAAATGTATGTTAGTACAGTGAAGCATATTTTATTTGGACTGTCCTTTAAGTGCTGAGAAACTCCCCCTCTAGATTGTGTCAGATAGCAGTTATCAAAATTCAACTCACCTGGACTCGGCCATCATGGCACACGCCTGGACTAATAACTGGGTTTGATGATCAGTATTATATGCTCTTGCGTAAGCAACATTGTCCAACACTGCTGCACCATCCATCCCATAGCGCTGGGCAACAGCTAACAGCCTCTCGGGACGGAATGTGCCTTCTGTGTCGATGTACATGCATTTGCCTTCACCTCCAGACTGCTCTATAGGCAACTGAAAATAAATTTTGAACATTTAATGTGGAAGTTTCTTTACGAATTTATTTAGTATCCATCACCGCAAATCAGTAAGAATAAACATTTTATTGTTATACAATAGTTTTTAATAAATAGGTTCAGCATTTTCTCATCAATATTATTTAACACTCGAACATATTCTTGTAAGAAAGACGATTTTTATTACGAGAGATTTTATTTATGTACAAAACAAAAGTTGGACTTGAAGATTATTTGATCATATATTTAAATCATTCTTTGCGAAAAAGTAGATGAATATTTGTGTAATAGAATTATAAACATTTATTAATGTATATAATACATCAAGTGATTGCCCACCTAAATATGTAAAAATGTTTCTGTAAATAAATGTTATAATAATTTGATACAATAACATTAGTAGTGACATCACAAGCGCAAAGCAGCACAACCGCGAAAACAACTTATCAAACTCAGTTCAGTTAGATGTCAATTTTTAAACATCATTCAAACATCTATGGAATATATAATAATTAATAGTTTGGCGACATGTTAGATAGACTATAAGAAGGCTTATGACTCGGTTATGAAATTGATACAACTCTGTGCACTTTCTTGAAGTCATGTAGGTGTGGGGCAATGAAGAACAGCATTTCGCTTCGCTATATATATAGCAGCGATCGAGCGGACTATATTTCAAGGTGATAGTCTGAGTCCCTTTTGGTTTTGTCTGGCTTTGAACCTTCTTAGCATTCTATTAGAGGGTTCAGGGTTAGGCTATAGGTTGCAGAAAGATGATCAATATCTCACCTTTATACGGCCGATTTGAAACTACTTGTCCCCCACTAAATTACAATTGACAGCGTTACTAAAGGTGACGGAAAACGTTAGGAATTCTATCAAGATGAAATTTGGTCTAGACAAGTGTGCAGTCATGTATGTAAAGAAGGGCGTGATAGTAGAATCTGAAGGAACAGAGCTTTCAGATTCAACAACACTCAGATCTCTGTCTGCCACTGAAACCTACAAATATCTGGGTATATCACAATCGTTGGAAATACCAAAATCTAGCATAAAACAAACGTTGCAGGAAGGGGCAACAAGGTGCGAGCCTGCAATGGTTGGGTTCTGATGTACTCCTTTGGTATATTTAGATGGACTCAGACGGAATTAGATGCCCTTGACAGGAGAGCATTCCGAATGCACCACCCACGTTCATCGGTTATGAGATTGTATATCCCGCGAAAGTTTGGGGGTCGCGGACTATTAAATATCAAGACCCTACCGGACTCACTGCGCTCGTATTGGCTTAAGAGAATTGGCGCAAACCTGTAGTACTCAGTACTAATGATCGCAGGGAAGTATGGAAGGGCAAAGAGCTCCATGGTCGGTGTTATCGGGCCCTAAACGGGTCTAATATAGACTTAAAAGCATCTACGATGGGGATCTCTTCAGCGAAACTGAAGGTTTTGTTTGTGCGAGTATGGACGAAGTTATCATGACGAATAACTATCGGAAATTTATCCTGAAAGATGGTACGGTTGACATCTGTCGGGCATGCCACCGTCCTGGGTGATTAAGCATATTGTTTCTAGTTGTTCTTTTCTCTCTCACGGTGAATTTTTGCACGTACACCAACAGCTTGATCTTAAATACCAACTTGTGAATCTAGAGGTGCCATACTACAGTTATGTGCCGGACCCAGTTGTCGAGAATGGTCGGGCCACGTTGTATTGGGATCTATCTACACTGGTCAGCAAATAAACCGAGCCACCCGCTACCTAGGAACTCTGATTCGATTTTCTCAAAAAGTATAAAACTTACAACTATCAAAGTTATACCTACAAAAAGTGCGTTTCATGGTGATTAAAATGACTAAAAATTAATTCGAAAGTACCGTCAACTCACATTGTAATCAAGCAACAAACACAATGCTAACGATTTGCTCTGTTTTCACCAGAGTTTGAAATTAGCGTTCTTTTTCTCTACAATGAGGGTAGTCGGATATTTCTTATCATTTCTTTAGTTTTTGTCCATCGTTTGCTCAGACGCGTGTGTTTTTGCTACTTTTTTCGATTAATAATGGATACAACACCTCAGGAAGCAGCTCAAGCTGTAGCATTACTTCAAGCAGGCATTGCGCGTGAAGTCGTTCGAAGGCTTCGAATCAGCAGATCTTCGGTGCAACGAGTTTACAGACGATACCTAGAGACTGGAGCATTCGATCGGCGTCCAGGTACGGGTAGACCTAGGGCTACATCAGCAGCAGATGATCGTTATATCCACCTTACTGTTCTGCGAAATTGCCACCTCAACGCAGTTCAAGTCCAACAAAGTCTGCGTGACGAACGCCAAGTGGTCATAAGTTCAGATACCGTCAGAAGGAGACTTGCTGAACGGAACCTGACCCCAAAAAGAGCTGCAACAGGCCCAGCATTAACGGTAGCACACCGTCGAGCACGACTTGAATTTGCTCGAGAGCATAGGGATTGGACATTAGAGCAGTGGAGTAATGTACTCTTCACTGATGAGACCAGGGTGAGTCTACATGGAAGTGATCGACGTCAGAGAGTATATCGTCGCCCTGGAGAACGTTATTCTCAGTGTTGCATCGAGGAAACTGTTGCTTATGGAGGAGGATCTGTAATGGTCTGGGGCGGCATCTCGTTAACAGCACATACAGCGTTAGTTTTCATCGAACCGACGGGCCGTACACGTGGACTGACTTCTCATCGCTACATTACTGAAATCCTCGCAGACCATGTGGTACCTTACGCAGGATATATCGGACAGGATATGCAATTGATGCATGATAATGCACGGCCTCATGTTGCTCATGTGGTGACCCAGTATCTACGCGACGTCAGCATTCGTACGATGGACTGGCCAGCTCGAAGCCCGGACTTGAATCCGATAGAACACTTATGGGATGAGCTGAAACGTCGGGTTCGAGCCCGGGTACCTGCTCTAACAAGGCTTCCAGAGCTGCGAATCGCAATTGAAGAGGAGTGGAATACAATTCCTCAAGATTTTATCGTCAGGCTCGTAAGGTCGATGAATACAAGGATGCTGGCAGTTATCCGAGCAAGGGGAGGGAATACGGAATATTGATCAAAAACTTTTTTTTGATTTTATCTTTGTTTTTGGCTTTAATTTTTTTTTTCACTTTATCATTACTAACGATTGTCACGACTGGAAAACGACTCTTCTTTGTAAAATCCTTAATAAACACTGAAATATTGATTAAGCCCAATGAGTTTCCTTTCATTTTAATCACCATGAAACGCGCTTTCTGTAAGTACAACTTTGTTAATTGTAGGTTTTTTAGTTTTTGAGAAAATCGAATTAGAGTGCCTAGGTAGCGGGTGGCTCGGTTTATTTGCTGTCCAGTTTATTATCACGGACGGAAAGAGTGGATACCTAAAATAAAAAGAAAGACCAACAACGTCACCTCGATACGCCAAGGTATCAAAGATCGAGCCACAAGCTTCTATCGACAACTGTATACTAAACAAGAAGAGGATGCATCAAATGATCACAACGAGACCAAAATACCATATGAATCGAATTTTGACCCTACACCTGAAATTCTAACATGCGAAGTCGAAAAGGCAATCAATAGCCAAAAAATGGATAAATCTCCTGGCCCAGACAAAATAACGAATGAACTGTTGAAAGGAACTATAGAAGAATTGGTGCCCATTCTTACAAGAATCTTTAACGACATTCTACTAACTGGCAATATTCCTAGGCAATGGTCAGAACCTCATATCATCTTATTACATAAGAAAGGAGACATAGAAAACTATAGACCTATTTGTCTGACATCCAATGTATACAAAGTCTTCTCAAAGATAATACTAGACAGAATCAGCCTTAAATTAGACGAACAACAACCAGTCGAGCAGGCAGGATTTAGAAAGGGATTTTCAACCATTGACCATATACATACTGTTAAACAAATACTTGAGAAATACAACGAGTACAATAAGGATATATTCATAGCCTTTATAGACTACGCCAAGGCCTTTGATAGCTTGAGTCATGAGTATATTTGGGAAAGCCTAGAACACCAAGGAATACCAACCATATATATCAAAATTATAAAATGCATATACTCCAATATCAAAGCTAGGATTCGGCTAGAGACATTGGGAGGTGAATTTCAAATACAAAGAGGTGCGAGACAAGGGGACCCACTTTCCCCAAAATTGTTTTCCGCAGTACTGGAAAATTTATTCCGTAAACTAAACTGGGCAGAATATGGCATTAGTATAAACGGATCTAGAATGCACCATCTAAGATTCGCCGACGACCTAGTGCTACTAGAAGAATGCCCCAAAAAGCTAGAATATATGATACAAAATCTAAGAGAAGAAAGTATAAAAGTCGGACTAAAATTGAACACTACTAAGACAAAATTAATGACAAACTCCCGACGAAAAAAACCAACATCAGCATTAATAACGAACTATTGGAGTATGTGGAAGATTATACTTATTTGGGTCAAGTCATCTCAACCAAAGATCAAATGACAAAAGAAATCAACTTCAGGATCGCTACTGGATGGAGGAAATACTGGTCGCTCAAGGAAATAATGAAGTCAAAGGACCTGAGCATGTCACTGAAGAGAAAGACCTTCAACTCATGTATCCTACCATGCTTAACATACGGCTGCGAAACATGGGCCCTTACTAAAATATTAAGGGAAAAGCTTGCCATAGCCCAAAGAGCAATGGAAAGGAGCATGACAGGATGTAAACGACAGGATAAAGTGAGAAATATGGACCTGCGTCTAAAAACTAAACTCACCGACGTATTGAATCGAATCGATCAGCAGAAATGGAGATGGGTAGGTCACATGATGCGGGAAAATAAAGGGAAATGGAGCAAAGCTGTTACAGAATGGTACCCAAGGGATGGACGCAGAAGCCGAGGAAGGCAAAACATAAGATGGGAAGATGAGATCAGGTTGACAGTGGGACCATTGTGGAGAAGGGTTGCTCAGGACAGACAACAATGGAAATCGTTGGAGGAGGCCTATGCCAAAAGGCACACCGAATTAAGAGACATAGTGTAACTAAAATCATGTAACATGAAAATGAACCTGTGTAATCTCTTACTTTGGTATAAGGGGCTATATATATATATATATATATTATTATCACGGACAGGACTATTGTTGCCAATAAGTCAGATATTGTGGTTATAAATCGATTAAAACGTCGCGCAATGATTGTTGATATAGCCGTTCCTCATGACGAAAATCTCGTGAAAAAGAAAAACATATAATATATTTGGATTTATCTCACGAGATTGTCGCTATGTGGATTCGCCGATAGTCGTATCTGCTCACGGATTGATAGCCAAGAGCCTCGACCAACACCTTAAGAGGCTCACGTTAGACGGCTGGATCAAGGGTCTGATGCAGAAGGCAGTTCTCCTTGAAACGGCCCGTATAGTGAGAAGGTTCCTGTCTTTGGAGTCCTATCCACCGGTGTCTTGGTCCATGTACCCGATGTCGGTGGTCTACTTTTTTTATTTCTTTTGTAATATATTTAAAAAGGTAATTGATATGTACATATAATGTAATAAAGAGAATAAGAATAATATTCTACCACATTCACACAACTAATAATAATCTAGTCTCAAACTAAGCAGAGCTTGTACTATGGGTACTAGACAACTGATATAAACACATATACACTTTTTTTTGTAAATACATACCTATTTTACTTAGAAACACCCAGACTAAATCAAACATTAACTGTTCATGCACACAAATGTTTGACTTAAGCGGGCATCGACTGACCTTTGGAATAGCAGTCCGTTAGACAAACCACTACGCCATCCGGTTCTCATATGATTAAAGGTTTGCAATCCATATCCAATTAACATACCATCACCACCACCAAGCAAGGATTTTAAATGTACATGTTTTTATATCTTACCTGACATGTAACAGCTAAAGTGTGACATATCTGAGTCTTGCCCGTTCTGAACTCTCCAAATATTTCAGTGATAGAACCAGTTTCTATTCCACCGCCTAGCAACCTATCTAGCTCCTTAGATCCTGTTGTTAACTGAATTATCTCAGATCTGGAAACAAGGCATTAATCAACAACTTCATATCTTAATCAACTGCATTTCAAAGTGACATGTAAAATAATATTTTGTATAGTCATTTCAATTAATAAAATCCTGAAATTTATATTCTCTGTCTTATTTAGATAAAACAAGGAAGCAAAATGATGTCATTTGTAAGTAAAAATGAACATTACAGTGCATGGTATCTGTCTGTTGCATAAAATCACAAGAAGAATAATTCTTCAATTAATAAAATTGCTGACTATACATCCATCATTACTAACAAGAACATCCATTCATTACATACTAAATTACTAACTTCAGAATGCTCAAGTTTTACTGTATTCTTCTTACCTAGATAATCCATAATCTATTACAAATCCATGTTAGACAGACATGTAAACAATATAGTATAACATAAATTTAATAGTTTTATATAAGCATTTCTGACAACAGTCTGATAATATGTTGGCTAAAGCTCAGAATCCTCAAGGATATGCTTAGATGAGAGCACATTAATCTAGAATAGAGTACGGCACTGGCCGCATCCCTGCACACAACCTACAAATGATGCCCAATCCCGCTTAAAGTCCTGATAAAGAGACAGGTTGCTTTATTAAAAATGAATGAAAAAACAAAAAAGAACATTTAAAAAAAGGGCTTGTGACTTTTGAGTTGCACGTGTCCACAGACTGCATTATGTAAGGAAAACAAAATTACAACTTTTTTCTCTTCTTTTAAAAAGACAACTCCCACACTAGGAATGTATCCTGTGTCGTGAGGATTCATGAAACGGAGAACACCTAGACTCATGACAACAACTTGTGGATCACACAAAGTGTTGTCCCATGACCCACAATATTTAGTGCATTAGGAAGCGGCATGGCGAGAACTCCAGCCACTACGCCATCTGTGCAGTATTTAACCCATTAGAAGTCACTGTACTCAATTGAGTACAGCCATTTTTTTTTAATTTCAATTCAACACTTGTAAAATTAAAGGGGCCTACTTTGTTATTTTATTTTATTATAATACTGTTCACGTATATTGAAAAGTATTAGCTGGTAGTGTGATTATTTTTGCCAAAAAGTGTCAGTTGAAGTAGTGTCACCGAAACACTGGGGAGGTAAGTAAATGATATGAGATTTTTTAAAGTTATTTCTGTTTATAAGTTATTTTTTTTATATCATTAGTATTAAATAAATGTCAGAGTAAGTTATAACAAACAATACAATTAGTGATTCATTACTAAAATAAAACTACAGTCATATAATGTTGCTGTACTCGACCCCTGAAATTTTACGAAATCTAAATTTTTACCATTTTTTTCTTTCGTTTTGTGTTTCTGTGTACTTATTTGAATATAAAAATAAAGATGATTTAAAAAAAACATCGGTACTTTTCATTTGACCCTTAATGGGTTAAGTATAATAACAAACATAATGATTATTTTTTTATAAAATCAAAATACCTTTTTTGATGAAATTCAGTAGCTGTAGTGAAACCCATTGGTACTAGCTTGGATGCTTCTGCTAATATCTTATCTGCTTTAGCCTCTGATATACCCTTAATAGTGATCAACCATTTCTTTGGAGCATATGCAACCGATTCCACTGTATGGTAGCCGGCCTCTTCTAGCTTTTTAATATCTCCTGAAGTTATTCCATTTCCCTGTAACAAAGATCAATCTAAAGCTAAACATGTAACTATTAAGAGATTATAAGTATATGTAATGAGTATGTATGGAAATACCTTCTTCACCATCATCAACTGCCTTTAATGGTCCACTGCTGGACATAGGCCTCTCTTTAGAAAGGAGGTTTTGGCCTACCCTCAAATAACACCTTTTTTATGCAAGAGGGGGCAGATAAGTAGAGAGGTCACCTGATGGAAACTGTCTACCACTCTCCATTAACTATAACATAAGGTGAATGATCTCCTTGCAATTCTAGGTGATCAATAAAGAGGGAATAGTAACACACCTAGCAAAGGCTGTGGAAGGAGAATTCTGCACAACATCTGGTCACTGCTAAACAGCCAAAACTCATTCTACCTCTAACTTTACATTATATATACATACTCACATTTTCATATCTGAACCGGTAGACAGACATATTATAAATGCCCACATTTTGCCAAATATAATTTTAGGGTGCTTCTACATGGGGCAAGTGGCTGGATTGGACAAAGACATGGGTTATTGCATTTAATAAAAGAAAATTATAATTTTAAGTATCATGAAAACAGCCGTTGTGTGACGGACAGATGGTCGTAAGAGCCAACTAAGGGAGCAAACTATGCAGGATAACAGCACTGCAAAGAGAAGGAAAACTTGACACAATTTTTTTTTTTTACACCAACCCGTCTGGCCAGCGTCTTTTTAAGGAAAGGCCTATGTCCAGCAGTGGACTATTAAAGACTGTTGATGTGACGTGATGATGACGAAAACAATTTAGCAACAATGAAAGTCACATTGAGGATCTGTTCTTTTTATTAGTCAGGCAATTTCCTTGCTTATCAATCAAATTTCCTGCTTAGGAAAACGATTGTTCACTGGGAACACTTCTATCAGATATAGATAAAATATCAAATGCAATATTTTCGGTCTTGTTTGACTCAACCAATGTACTTTTGGGTGTTAAGTTAAACTTTTCAGTTTATTAAACTTCAAATACCTATAGATACAGTTCAGTTACATTTTCAAATTAAACTCATATTGATGAATCAATTTGAAAATTATTAAAGAGGAGGAGGATGGAATGGAAGGAGAATCAACCGAAAGGCAAATAATTGCCAAAAATCGGGAGTATTTAAGAGACATTGAACAAAAAGTTAACAATAAAATATTAAGTAAGTCATACTTACTTAATAGCTACAGAGGGTTAATAAGCGTTACAGTTTTAGACTAGCCTTAAAAAAGCTTACTAACCCGTCTGACCAGTGTGGTATAGGAGGCCAAAACCTCCATTCTAAGAAGAAGCCTATATCTAGCCAGTGAACCTCTAAAGGCTGTTGATGATGATAATTATGAATACTAAATATATACTAAAGACCAAGAAAATTTAGAACAAAAAACCGAAATAATAATAATAAGCATATTTGATTAGAATGTACACGTCCACTAGCAGCATGTCAGAACATGTCTGCTGCTAACTCACCTCTAATTTATTTATTAGTTGTGGTCCACACTCGTCCAAGTCTTCGTCAGCAGTCGCCGTAACAGCTGATGCTGTAGCTGTCATTGTCTTTAACCGCTTGTTAACTTCAGTTATACCTTATAGCACTCAACAGCTTCCAATCCAATTTCACCGAATCATTTAAAATAACAGCATTTAATGTTTTATGAAAACCTAACACCATTGATCTATTATATTACTCTATCACTATCCACTTTTCTAACTTCCAAATTTGAGAGAGGAAACTTAATTCAACCACTTTGTATTGTAAATTAAATTCATATTATTGTTCCATCGTGGTTACATCTGCATTAATCATGTACTAAAACGTCAAATCGAAATTGTCTTTCGACTCGATCATAGAAAACGAAATAAAAGACTGCTAAAAAAATTCAACAAATATTTTAGTTAGTCAATGATTGTCAAACTTTCCCTCCATTGCATACGATTTGCGATTATGTTCTTCATAGTGATGGTTATCTCGATTTAGAAACTCGAGTAGTATTTCGATTTTACTTTCAATTTTCGTGCTAGCTTTTGATCAATAATCAAAAGCTTGAGCAATGATCTGCTAACTTTTTGACAGTGTATGCTATGTCTCGTCTTGGCAACATTTTACATGAAAATATTTTTGGTGGGATTTCACTTCTTTTTGTACGTTGTTTAGACCTCTAGCATCAAAATTTCGAAAGTCTCATACAAACTTCGACCCCTAGTTTAAGGAGTTGTAATCTAACCGAATAAACCCACATGGTGTGTAAACTGCGCCTAAGAGAGATCCGATAACAGCTTTTATTAAGACGTCCGGACATTTCTTTTTTTGGTGACAGAAGGCCTCACCAGCCACCCCAGACCTCCGGTGCCTGAGCCGCCTGCAGTACCTGGAAATTTCCCGGGCCTGGTGGAGCGGGAGAGTTCTAAGCCTCTTCAGGTCCCGCTCCGCCCTCTCCTTCTCGAGAATGATTTGAAAAAAATAGGAATAACCTCAAACTATAGATGGGACAAAATCACAATGAAGTGTGAATGAACAGCGCATTAACATTCGTTCTTTTCTTTTCTTCGAAAATTCAATGTTGACAATATTGGGTGTGGTCAGACTAACGATATAATTAAGGTTCCGACTCTATGTTTAATGATATTGGCAGAAGAGAAATTAAGATTTATATTATTCCAACCAATAAAACTCAGTCCATTGTTATCTCCCAATGCGCAACGTATTATGGAACTTCCACATACTAGAGGTATTGCTCTTCAAAGATGTCCAAGGGGCCAAGGCACCTCAACATTTGAAGCATTAGCGACCTTTGGTATTACTCTCTTAAAACTGCCTCGTTTCAATGCCGATGTTGAGTTGAGATACTATAGGTATAAACACAGGAATAGAATTAAGGTAAATCTTTTATCTGCTATTTTAGGAATACGTTGTGGTTTGAAGATGGAAGGAGAATGCTGTAACAGACTTATATCTTAGCGTTCCATGGATTCACCGTGCTTGTGCCGGGTCCATCGCGTTATAAAATTCCAATAAACGTCTTAAATAAATTGCTACCAAATAATCTTATTAATCTGGAACCTGTTATTGGCGTTAAATGTTAATAAAAGAAAATATAATTAAGTAATATAATTATAATTATGGTTTTCTTTCGAAATTACTAAGAAATATTATTTATTTATTTATTTATGACTTTATGCACAAATGTGTACATCGGCGGACTTAATGCCTAAGGCATTCTCTGCCAGTAGAACGATTGGGCGTTGCAGAGAAAGACTGAGGTAGGTGCATTTATGGGGATAAATGATAGAGTTCTTATACAGTACTATTTGTCCTTCGAATAGACGTATACAGGCAATGATATATTATTATATTTATAATATATATACCAGGATTAACACATTTACATATATATACATACGTACACATATACCTATATATATTCATATACACATATACACTCATATTTACATATACACACATAGATACAATTATAAAAATATTATAACTGGGGGTGATGAATTAAGAGCCCGTTGATTCTGCCAACTTACTCAGCAACAGCTCCTTTACCTTCATCTTGAAGGAGTAACGGTTTGTATTTGTGGGACATTTAGAGTCGGGTCGTTTTTTGTTAGTAGTTTTTTGAAAGTTTTAGATGTTGAATCTGGTGGAGAGTTCGTTTAACTGTTGGCAACACTGACCATGTCTACCTCCCTACCTACAAGCCATAAAAATACAAAAAAAAAAAAACAAAAACCTCCCTACCTGTCAAGTCAATTCAATTAGTGTCAACTTTAACTTGAATTCCCCCACAAATTAACCGCCGGATTCACTCACTTACTGAAAGTGTTAATTCAGCTTGAACTGGCTAATTCTATTTACAAAATTAAATAGTGGGACAGTCATAGCTTTTAGAAATTTTGTAGTTTAGAACGGAAAACTATTAAAATCCATAAAATGACTATGCATAAGTCCGGGGAAATTAGGCTATTAATTGAAGATCAACTTTTTGTAGTAAATAAAGATATTTTGTGTGAATACAGTGATTATTTTCGGGCTATGTTTAGTGGTAATTTTAGCGAAAAAGACAAACAGGAGATATCAATAGATGTGAGTATGCTAAATAAGAGTTATATTAATATATTATACCAAATAAAAAATACCTACCTTATGCAGGTACTTTGCAAAAACTTAGAGAAACCGGTAAACAGTTAGTTGCAGTCTTTTACTAGATTAAACTAATAAGAATGTTATTTAATGAGGTGTTGTATGACTTGAAAAATGCCACCTAGGCCTTACTGGTTTACCAGGAATATGATCACTATATGTATATAATACATTTAACACACTGTTAAGTTCTTTACTGACGTGAATATCAAGAAAATTAATAGACTATTGCCAACTGACAAACTAACATGAACTAATACCTGCAACCAAAATCTATCTACAAATTACTTAATTATCACTACTTTCAAATACTATAATATCGAACTAATTTAAAAAAAGAAAAACCATTTTCTCATAAATATATTTATATAACTTTTTTTCAAAACCTTACCTTGTTGTAAAAAGAGGCAAGTTCTTATATTTCATAGTCTAATCTGAGGCAGTAGGTGGTATCCCATAAAGAAACAAAAGCTATAAGAAATAATATATTTATTACAGGTGGTGGATGCTAATTCCATGAGCATCATTGTGAGATACATGAGACTAGGCTTAATTGATCTAGCAGAACTTTCTTTGCCATCTATAGGAGAACTAGCAATTGCTGCCAATTTTCTGCAGATCACGGAACTCATTAAGCAGATTGAATACTGTTTAGAGCTACAGCTGTCAAAGTGCAACTGGCTGGAGATAATGGCCATTGCAGAAAATGCATCATATAAAAGCTTAGAACAGAGATGTGCTGCTTACGGGCTTTATGATTTCAAGCTTATGAAAGCAGAATTCATAGAATCCATTAATAAATTAGTGTGGTACCTTTCTCACACACACTTAAATTCAGAGTCTGAGTTACAAGTCTTCAAATTTGGAGTTGACTGGATTATTAAACATGACAAGAGTGCAGATGCATTGCTCCTTATTTTGGGTTGTTTAGATGTGTACAGACTAAAAGAGGAGGAATTAAAGGACATGAAAAATCTAGTGAAAGATTTTCAACACTGTTTGGCCGAGAAAGTCATAGATTGTTTGTATACATTAGCAACTGATTGTAGGATAATATGTTGTGGTAAAATGAATGAGAGGAAGAAGATGTTATGTGAGATGTACACTGAAAGAATCTATACGGAAACATTCAATCTTGTCAATAATAGTAAAAAACGTCAACTAAAATTTAAACCATGTGTGGCAGTGTGGTCGAGGGACCCAGATCCTGATATGTTAGATGCAAAGCCTCATTATTTATATACAATCAATAATATGAATGAATTTGAGCCATGGCTAGAGGTTACCGAAATGTGTCTCTGGGGATGGAAATTTGTTGCTTGGGGAATCACGAAGATAGTAATTGTCTGTGGAGAGCGTAGGAAGGGAACAGGGTTTTTTTGGAAGGGTGTTAAAATTTATGATGCTTTAAAAAAAGAATGGATTGAGCATGGTGTGGAATTGCCAATACGTAGACATGGTGGTGTTGCAATCGTGGACGACTCCTTATATATCATTGGAGGTGTAGGTGGGTATAGGTCAGTTTTTTTTAGACCTCATTGGGACTAGATTATGAGAAAACAAATTGCAATTGTATGTTTGTTGCTCTCTGTTCTAATTAGTTATCCTGCACCATACACTTTTGGGTTAACCTACCCTAGGGGGGTTATACCATAACAATGTAAGAATTAACAGCAAAGTCACCCACCAGCAAAGACTCCATGCATTCTAGATATTTAATGTTTTGAACATTTTCAAATATGTTTATAACTTCATTCATCAACCTTTAAGATTCCACTGCTAGACATAGGCCGCTCCATAGAAAGGAAGTTTAGGCCTACTACAACACTGTACTATAAGTACTCTAATTACTTTATTTCTACCTATTTTTAAAGGTTTGCAATCTTAATGCAATTTGGTGCAAAGCACTTTTGAATTAATCTCTTTAAGATTATTGGCGAATATCTTACTATTTACTATTTTAACAGCAAAGTTTCAAATGTATTATATTTAATGTGTATTCTATTTAATAACACATTGAAACCCGACTGTGTAAAAAATACTAACTAGTAAACATATTTGTGTACCTATTATGAAGGTTCATTGGTTCCAGTGGCACTAGACACACGTAAGACGAATCTACGACATAATCATTCATTCGAATCCGTTCAAAAAAAATCTTCCAAATAATTCGACAAATTAGTATTCGATGAATACTGGTTTCTTACAAGGAGCTAGTGCAAGTTTGTTTCAGTCGCTTGTGCCGATGACCTTATTCGGCGTTGCGATTGCTGAAGACTTCAGTGTGGGCCAATCGCAAATGAACGGATTCCAACGAATTCACATGAAGCGTTTAAAACTCAACTCCCGGATCGTTCCCCAAAATTTCTTTCAAATCTTTCAATTTGCAGAACTAATGTTTGTCATCCCATGTCTGCGACATGTTCCTTAGTAATGAGTAACTTGATAAGCTTCTATAACTATTCTAGCTTCTATAAGCATTATTTTTCAAGAGAAAGGACTTCGTCTGTGGACAGCCAGGATGTTACTAAGGCTTACTGATTATTTTTCTGCCGTTGTAATAATTTTGACTACATAAGAAATTTGACTATAATATATATTTGCAGTAGATATAGTTAACAAATATGTGATTTTACAGGGTAGTATTGGACACTGCAATTGTATACGATCTCAAACAGAGGAATTATAGAAAAATTGCGAAGTTTCCTGACGCCATCCAAAGCCCTGCAGTATGCGTGTATAATAGAAAAGTGTATGCCTCTAGTCACAAGAACATATATCGGTATGAAGACGACGAAGTACAGGACAAATGGGTGATCGCTTTAGAAACGGACATTAGACTAAGTTGTATGGTGTCATACAAAGGTTACATATACTGCACACAGAGTTACTTCAATGATTTATATAGATTCAGGCCAAATGTTGATACTAGGTTACAACGAATAACATCTTTTGATATTTCTCCATCTACTATGTGTCTTTTTGGTGAGTTCTTGTATTATGTAAATCCGCTAGCGTTACCCGCTGTTTCTCTTGCGTTCATTTTTACTCTTCCACTTCTAAAGTTAGTAGCGGCGAATCAAATAGCCTATAACCCTCGTTTCTTTCGTTTCTTTTCGACGACTTTTTACCGAAGTCCAAACACCCTCACCCCTGCCCCCCGATATGGTCAGAAGGAGTCAAAAGCGCGGCGACGCACTTGTGATTCGGTAGTCATTTACCATCAAGTGACCTGTCTTATCGTTTGCCCTCCTATACCAAGAAGAAACCTTGCATGTTCTAATTAATGTACTTTTTATACAGGTAACAAATTATTGGCTTTTGAAAGCACAGATGCTACTCAGCTGGCCAAAGTAAACATTGAAGAATACGACGAAGATAGTGAAGATAGGTCGCCCAAGTTATTATGGAGTCGAGATAACAGCCCTTTTATCATCAATGACGTTGCTGGATCATGTGCAGTGGTGGATTCTGCGCCTCCTCTAGCTACTGAGATTTCAGATTACGTTCAACGTCGTTTAGAAGACTATCATGATTGTTATTCTAAGTAAAGGTGCCTAAATATGTTTAGTCGTTTCGTATGATGAACTGCGTCTTAAAGAATTTGTTCTAAATTTGAATTTATCTTGCAGGCAGTATTTTTTTAATAGCATAGTTTTAAGGCTGTAAAGTAGTAGTTACATTGTCTGCGGGTATCATATATTTGAAACCGCTTGTGAATGTTCCGTAATTATAGTCGTAAGTAATAATTGTAATCTAGTCCGAGGTGGAGCCGTGTGAAACAAGACTACATCTCAATCAAGTTAAACTTTTAATAATGTAATGTGAAAAAGGCTCAAGATTTTTTGAATATAATTATACAGTTTTTGTAATTTAATACATAGTTTTATTTCTTGCCCTACGTTTCTCTCTATAAATAATGATAGTTTAAGTGAGGCATCAAGATTCCTTAGGATGCAAACCCTAGCAGATCTTGGCCTGCAAGAAGAGTTAAGAGACGACATGGACATTTTAACCCCTTATACCCATAAGGAGGTAAAATAAGAATTGCCAATTATTTTTTTAAAGAATACCCGCATTAGGAAAGTGTCCTGTCGCAGGGGACTTTACAAACATACATGAAACGGACACAATGAACACCCTAGAATACTATAATTTGTGGATCACACAAAGTATCGTCCCATGTGCAGTCTTCGTCCTTAGTGGGTGCTTACAACATTAAAAACATCAGCTGCCATGCAGTTTGTAGCTTCAGTGGTTTAGACTGCGTTGATTAATCACTGAGCCAGGGCAAGCAATTTGTATCCGTATAGACTAGACATCCATGTCGTTTTAAGTGTTTAAATTCAATTTGAATTTATATCAAAAAGTGTTCTTAAGGGGATGGAACTTTCACTCGGGCTTTATTGCCAATCTGGACATAACATGTTCTAAGTAAGTGCCCGTCGACTCGCCGATCCTGCTTGTACTCTTTCACTAACTTCTTCATCATTTTCAATCTTAAACAGTTCTCACCCTTTCGATCATGATGATCATGAATCATCTTTTTCATACTCGTCACTCATGACTGTTTAAAAAAGAAAACTCTTAGGTGCTGCATTCATACACATTACTATGATGAGGTCACCTGCAGTCAGCACTGATGGTCTTTTATCATGTAAATACGCTTTGTATCTTCGTCAGTCGTAAGACCGCCAGATGTTAGACAAGAAGATCCAAATACAAAGGAATAAAAAAACTATTTGTATTAATTAAAGTTTATTTCGTCATTCATTTACAAACATACTCAAATTAAAGTGTACATACAATTTGTACAATATTTCCATAATAAAATTAAGAGATAATGTTAATACTCCACTATTCTACTTGACACTTAAATAAAACCGACAGCATCATATGCGGTCTCGCCAGACTAGTTGCGTAGTCAACAATTTATTATAAAATACGAAATATTCTTTGCAATTATTAGGTATACAACATGAAGCGAACATTACTCTAAATTAAATTTGACACTGGATTAAATAAGAAATAACTTATGTTATGACGCTTAACCAATGTTATTTACAGTGAAAAAGAAACACTTATAATCTCCTATAGTTAAGGCCACTGATGTATAAAAGGTATATAACACCTGTCAGAGCACCAAACAGATTACAGTCAAGAGTTGTATCGTCGTAATGGCACTTCATTGAGGATCTGTTGTTACACTATGTTATCAATATTTTAAAACCATTAAAAAGCTCATTATATTATTGATGTAAACTTACAGCTAAATGAATAAAGTGATGTCTAATGTATGAAAGCATCTCTTAAGATTCTGCGTCAAGCTTGTATTTGGCATTCATACAATCGCTATGTAATAATATGCTATTGGAAGCACTACATATAAGTTAACTACTGACCTGACCAGGATGGTGTATTATTACTTATAGATGTAGCAATGTAGAAAATAAAAAAACTGCAAAAATAACTATATATGGCAAGCTTGATCTCGACACAATTATTTCAATCATAGTATTGGGGTGCATTGACTTCCTGGCCCGGTCTTATATTAAAATTCATAAAGATTATTATGAATGCATACAAAAATATAAACTAGATTGTTACGTTTCTTGTACAACTTCTCCGATAACATTCAAAAGGCACATGTTGCAAGGCCCACACCACTACATTAAAGACAACACCGAAAGATAAGTTAAAAATTCCAGCCCTTGGCCATATTAAATATATGTATAAGAGATTTGTAAATTAAATAATAAACTTCATTAAATTTATGTATGTAAAACTTATCGATAAATTATCATAGTGCTCAACTGCAAGAATATAAGAACGAACAAGTTCTGACGACATTGTTGCGTGGCCTCAATTACACATCAAATTCGGTAAATCGTTACTGATATTCAAATGACACTTGAAAGATACAGAGTCAGGTAGTACGATATTCCAGAAGTCACAGGTTAGAATCCTGGGTCGTCAACATTGTTACAAAATATATTCTTTTTATGGTACAGGGGGCAAACGAACAGACTGGTCACCTGATGGAAAGTGACTACCGCCGCCTATGAACGCCTGCAACTCGAGTCACAAGCCGTTGTCGAATTTTGAGGGAGTGCGTTCTTTTCTTGTAACTATCAAAAAGTGTAAAATGATCAATTCTTGTAGTTGATACTACACATATTATTGTTATTATTTATTAGGTTATCTATATCACTACGTTTTCTAAAATTATGTTTTACGTCCATCCGCCGGTGAGTTTATGGAACAGCTCTTCGTTGAGCGTCTGGTTCGCGTCCTTGGAGCGCATCGACAAGAATATGTAGCCTCCGATGAACTCGTGAACCACTTTGCAATCGGCCGATTGGACTGAGAAGATGATGTTGCCTTCCGCGAATTGCACCATCATATGTTTGATCTCCCAATTCACGTTCCACGCCTGAAAGTACCAAAATGAAAGCGATCGTAGTAAATCAAATATTTCTAGACAGGTTTACGGTTTTTTCTTGTGACATTAATATGGGAGTATCTTCGTGGTTGCTGAAATCATTTTTATGATTATTTCTAGTGGAAATGTTATATTCAGTCACTTGGAGTGTGCCAAAAAAGAAAGAACCAATTATAATAGATTGGAAAAATACCTAGGTTCGTAAATTTTGAAAGATAATGTTAATCAATATTAGCTTACTTTCATAGAACTAAAGCGCCACGTCTTGATATGATCTCCAGTGTTCGGATCGAGTCTCATGATTCTGTTGTTAGCGATGCTGATGATCTCGTCTCTCTTGTGACCCATGAACCTTACCACGAACATGGTCTGGCCATAGTCACGCAGATTTTGCCAGGTCTTGATGTACTGGAGCTTAGCTTCGAGGAGAGGAAGATCTTTCACGTTGGCGTGACTTTCTAGTACGCGTTGAGTGAACTGAAAGAAAGTGATAGATATTCGTTTATATAGATATAACCTAGATTGCTTGAACGTCAATTGACAGGTTAATATTCGTGTGGTGACGTAAATGGGTCACTAAAGAAGCAAACTTCTCTTTGCAGAACAACACTACTGCAAAGAGAAGGAAAACTTGACGTAAATCTTATACCAACCCGACTGGCCAGCGTGCTATAGTAGGCCAAAATCTCATATCTAAGGAGAAGCTTACGTCCAGCAGTGTACTATTAAAGGCTGTCGATCATGATGACAGGTTAAACATTTAAAAGCAGTTGCTGCTGGTGGTCGACTTGCGGCAGTCTCACCTTGCCCTTGAGCTTGCGCAGGTAGCGCGGCGCCAGGTAGTTGTCGGGCTGCAGGTGGTCGAGGTGCGGCAGGCTGTGCTGGTGCAGCGCGGCGCTGGGCTGGGGCCGCTGCAGCGCCAGCAGCGCGCGCACGGCGGCGACCTCGGACGCGAAGGCCGCGTCGGCCAGCGAGCGCCCGCGCGCGCCCAGCCGGCACGCCGCCACCCACTCCGCGTACTGCTCCTCCTGGGGACGGCCCACAGCGTCACTACTGTATACCCACTGACCGATACTCATCATCTGCCTATGTACCCTTATCCCAATTTTATTTGGGGTTGACGCAGTAAGTATAATCCTCTACGCTATCATTCGCCATCAGACTGTTCACTCCCTCCTAGAAATATCCTCATTCGCACAAACCATCCACCTTTTCTTTGGATCTATGGTACACATTCACAAAAATATTAGTTTAAGAAAATTATAATACTTTTTCATAGTAAGTATACTCAGAGAGCGAGGTGGAGGCGCTGTTACCTGAAATACAGGTTTCTAGCGTACTTCAGCAACAGATGCTTATACCGAACACAAATTGTCTACTTTCAGACTAATATTTATTTATTTAATTATTTTTGCACAAACAACAAATCATTGTACAATGGCGGTCTTAATGCCAAAGGCATTTTCTCCCAGTCTACCTTTGGGTGGTAAGGAAATGTCTGAGTAGGTGCATGAAATTAAAATTAGGTTACATACATACTGAGATACACATACATATATATACTTGCTGAGTTACATACATACATATGGTACATACGTATATATACATATAACATATAAGACTTTAGGGATGTGATGAGTCTGCTAGTGTCGAGAATTCGAGCTCGGACTTTCGTTTTAAATGAGAGGCGACTGGGTGCTATCCTGATTTGTAAAGGCAGAGCGTTCCAGAAGAGGACAGATTGGATTAAGAACGAAGAGTGGACACATGCGGAAGTATGAGTGGGGCATAACAGAAGTGAATTGTTTAATGAACGGAGAGTTCTGTTGTGATTGGCACATAGAAAATGAAATGAGGATGTTAGGTAGGAGGCAAAATAGGTGAGTTGAGTATGGAATAGAGGGTGGTGAGGGCGTGCAGCTGACGGCGCTGACGAATCGTGAGCCAGGTAAATTCACGACGAGAGGAAGAAACATGGTCGTATTTGCAAAGGCGGTCGTATTTATTGAGGAGATCTGCATTCAGGTCATAATAGCATACATCACCATAATCCAAGATAGGGACAATAAGAGTCTGTACTAGCATCGCTTTTGTCTCGGAAGGAAGGAAGTTAAGTAATACTAGTACTAGTAATACTGTATCATAAACAAAATAAACATAATCTCGAGCCGAATAAACGCCAGTGAGAATGTTTTCGTACACCAGGATGACACGATGTGCCTTCAGTATGAATATAACTTATGTTTTTCTAAATATAAAATGGAAACTACGATAAATAATTAAATGAATGTTGATTTTTCATAATACATGTACTAAAAAAAGTTTAATGATTAAATGGTATAGGTCGAAAGTGATATATCGCACGTGCTGATTGAGGATATCTGAATCCAAAACGATGGTTTGCTCTTTTAAGGCTAATTTTGTATTTGTTCAAGTTTTGCGTAAAACTCTGTGAATATATTTTTCAATTACTTAATTACAGGTAATGGTACTATATAATAACTTAAACTACCAACGGCAATACTGCACCAGGTTTTATTAAAATCGCTTAATCTCCGTTTCACTAATCTCATCATACATTAGAGGAGAGTTCAACTCAGCTAGCAGGCCAGAACTGAGTTATATGATCAGGGTATAGTAACATTAACCAACACCCAGTATTTTATTAAATGCATAACGTTTATACGTGTTGCCTTTGTCCCTCTGAGAGCGAAGTTACAGGCAGAAACTAGAATTGTACAAAGAGAATGAGTACTTACGTTTTCGCATTTCAGCCACATTTCGTGCATAGCATCTTCGGCAGGAATCTCCAGCTTGATGCTATATCTACCAGATGCCGGATGTGCGTCTGGAGTAACCTAAAATACGTGACCAAATGACATCTCATTACAGCGTCCTCACATCTAATTTTATTTACGACAAGTTGTACGAGTTGTAAAACAAAAAAGAATTGACTTATTCTGACTGACTATTAAAAAATAGCTGTAATTATTTTATTAAAATAAATTATTTCGATTGATTAATTGATTGATAACCAAGTTTGGATAATTAACCTAAAAGCTATAAAATTTTAGACTAAGGCATACTTTGGAATGTTTTAAGAAACTATGGCTCACCTCTACCCCCCTCAGCTCAGCAGCATACGAGGGCTGTTCCCCTTTAGCGGCGGCTTCACGCGACGAGTGAATACGCAACACTCCGTCACGACACGACACCCAGCCGCGCTTGTACGCCTTCAGCGTGAACCTCTTGGGCCTATAACATAATTATATAAAACTAAGTTTTATATCCTAAACTAAAAAAAAAAGTTGCATGGGTTTCTGATTATAAAGTAGGATAATATCGGCGTATACCACTATACTTCCTATCTTTGATTTAGAAAGCCCTTGGTTAACAGTTATGGGATCATACGAATTTTCAACTATGATTTACTTTTTTAACGCAGATATATAATCTAAACAAGAATATTCAGAACTTTTACTGTTACCGTTATACATATACAATTTGAATCGTGTAAAGTGGTTTGATAATTTTTATAAACACTTTCCGCTATGATTATCACTAAGATCAATATTACCTATTGTGTAGTAAATATTACCTTATTTAGGTATTGTATTGGGTTTTCCCTAAATTATATGATGTATATTGTACAAAATAATAATTTTAATGACTTCATATAAGGAATTTTCTAGTTAACCTTTGTGGTTTTGATTACCCTGACTTGGTTTAGTTATATTAATTTTGGGTATACATTATTGAATTTAATATACGGAAAATTTATTTATTAATATTTAAAATAAAATACTATTTAAGACTATATTTCAAATATGTACATATTAAAGGCAATTTCAATGGATGATCTCATGTTCACTGCTACAAAACTTTTTTCTTCCCGTTAAAAGGTAACTCCTCTGTAAGATTTTTGTATTTTGACCTTAACCATCAGACGGGTTTACGTCAATATCGGTAATCGATTAAAGAAAATGATATCAAGTTCAAACTGTGTATCAAACAAAAGACATAGTCCTCTTATCAAAAACTTCATTAGTGGCTCAATTATACGACTATCTAATGAATATTTACTAATTTCTGTAACTAATTTTTAATCGGCACCCGAGATAAGAAGGAAAATAAAGACTTAGGTACAAGAGTCTTAAATTTTATTTATTAATCAGTTAGGAGTAGCCAGTATTAGTATACAAAGGCGCACGATTCGATTAGATTATAACAACTACGTAATGGCGGGCATTAAGTTTAATGCATTTCACATTACTTTTTGGCCTTCGTTTTACTTTTTTTTTATAAAGGTTTTATTATAATTTCAATAGAATAATTAAATTCAGGATGAATATCCTCAATTTAACTAAGATTTAAGTATCTTATGCACATTGTTTGACGAAACAACAGCTGTTATCATTATTTCAGCAGTGGACTTATCCAAGACATGAAAATGATGTTTACTAAACGTTTACTTTGAGGAAAAGATTTATATTATCGTATTAATTTTAGTTGCCACACTAATAATAATAAATAATTCGTTTGTTAATCAAATACAAAATACAAATATATTTAGTACAACAGGAAGTGTGATATTTTGTGTTACGGAATATATGTGAAAGTAAAATCAGAGATATATTATGGATATAAGGCATGTGATACACGGATCTGTAGAAACCAATTTCGTGGGTGTGCCGCATACCTTACACATAGCAGAAGTATTAAAGATAAGATACATATATAATCCAACTAAAATATATTTATTTTATCGGCTCATTTCAGTAGAATACTGTAGTAGAACTCTGTAGAACTCTGAAAAATCAATCATTTTCGAAGAACTCGGTAAAGTTACCGGCACGGATCTTGAGCGCTCGACGACAGTGGGGATCGATTTACGCATTACTAAGAAAATAATTACTTAATATTAAATATTTTATTTGTCTGTCTATACTTTTTTATGTTAGGCCAAAATAAACATTTTTTTTTCTTCTTTTCTTTCTTTCAATGTGGATTTACGGCAAAAAAAAACATATAACTTTCTTATAGACTAGAGAGTTTTTTTTTTTGAGATTTAGTTATTTTTAAGAGCGTTCATTTAAATCGTACAAGTTAAGTAGAAAAATAGCACAGCAATAAAGTGTTTCAGTTTTACAAAGACACTTAAATTTAGTGTACCTGCATATGAAATACTTCTGGTATATTTAATATCTCTGTTTTATTAATATGTACAATTTAGTAGATACAATTGGTACGGGGGAACAACAAATATCTTACGTAACAGAACAGAAATCGTTGTTACACTTGCTGGCCGCCAGGAGTTGAAGATGGAAGAAATGAAAATATAATATAAACATTATGAAATATACTGTATATATACTAAGAACATAATTAATTATTGCGATAGTCTTAGGAAAGTATGCCACACAGCGTCATTGTTGTCAACAAACCTGATAGCACATTAATCGAACTCTACTTAAGAAATAAACTTTTACTTTTGAAATTACAAATAAAGGATGTAAAAAAAAACAGGACACAAAAACATTTTTTATTTACAAGTCAGTCAGTAGCGTCATCCGAGCATGGATTTTGTTTCAACAATCAAAAAGTACCATTGGTTTATTTGGGAAATAATATAAAGTGCGTCCAATAATGTGCGTTCAGCCTTATTAAAAACTTAAGATCATTTAGGTATGGAGGTATGTGCTTAATAAGTTGTAAACGTTATAATAAATATATCAAATAATTTATAAACAGTATTTTACTGTAAAAGTTCAGCCTATGGCAAATATTAAGGGTAATGAAAATTTTTAAAAGTGGGTTTTTACTCATTGTCAAATAAAATTTAAGAAAAATAGAAAATAGATAAAAAAGAAGGAAAATAATAGTATTCTGTATAATGCACATATAACTATGCTACATCTTAATACATATATATAATTCTTCTGTGCATGTGAAATTGATTCCGCCGTTTAGAAGGAGTTCAGTATGTGACTAAACTCCTCCTAAACGTCTACTACAAAATGTTTTTTAATAAGAGTGTGCAGGACAACGTCGGTTGGATCCGCTAATATTCACATAAAAGTGTTTCAGTCTTTCTACAATCATCAATATAGGTCAACTTTTTTAATCTACATGTTACATCTTATTGTTTTTTTTTTACAATTAGTAACATATTTGATATTCTAAATGATTGAGTTTTCACATAGTAAATGATTATCACAAAGTTATCATTGTTTTTGTTCCCGAAACTAACATTTACCATCTCCTCGTCTTTTACAGTAACATAGCAATACATGTGTAAAAAAGTGTAGAAGATAATTTTGGAAAAAATTAAATTTATCAGCCAAGAAATAATTTATTTTTATATATAATGTATATATCTATAAAAAAATCATAAGGAAGACAGTTCAGTCCACAATAGAACGTATATACGTTTAAATATTATATTGTCGAGGAAAATTATTGGGTATATCTAATTACACAAGGTGCGTCTCACCTGAGGTACTTGAAGTATCCGGCGAGCTCAGGCACATGTGTGATGTCTTGCCGAGGCGCGGGCCCACCCTCGAGTTGCGCCTGCAGCTCAGAGAGCGCGGCGTCGATCTCGTCCTCGGGCGCAGCACCCGCCGAGTTGCCCGCGCCGTCCGCCGCCTCCACGCTGCCACCCGCGAGAGTCTGCAGCTCGATTTGTAGCTAAGGGGTGCCAATTCAATTATTATTTACTTACAATTTACTTGAAAAAAAAGGTCTATATCTACGAGTATGTCAATAAGTTTTGACTTTTTAAACGATTCAAAGTGTATTAATTATTTGACAGTTGACCCTCAACTTGTACGTAGTCGAGATGTACATTTTACAAAGCGAATCGACAGTATTACTTTCACAATAATTCCATCAATTATAGCAATAAGAAATATTTCAAATTGAATAAAAATAAATCCTTGTATTTTTTAAACGTTGGTCTTTAAAATTAAGGTTTATTTTACAAAAACTTTTACATTTAACTGAATTAACTAAAAGTTTACGTCATAAGAGACGGTTAAAACACAAAACAATTTGAATGGTGTCATCATGACCACAATTGTGACTTAACAAACCTGTAATGCGGCAAACAGTAACATTTCCTCCTCTGTGCACTGCACCTCCTGGTTAAGAATCTGCCACCTGGCCTGTTGGTATAACTGGTTGAGCCGGGGAGCGTCCTGTGCGCGCGGGCACAGATCGAAGAACGAGTAGAACTTGAACCGAAGCTGTAGAGTGTCCCATTCGCGGACATATTGCTCCATAACTGAGAGGGATGAGTCCAGCCAGCTACAGAACATGAAATACGAGTTAGATGAAATTTAAATTGATTTACCACGAAAGGGACTTGCCGTGCCAAATTATGAAAGTATCAAGTTACGATAAGTTTTACCATACAATAGGTTGTCATTGTTTTACAAAACAAAATGTAATATACAAACCCAACATTCATCCTGGCCCGTTCCATGAGAGTTTTTGGCGACAGTAGTGAATCTTTAGACTGACTGTCAGGTTCAATTGGAGAATCAGCAAGAGAGAGTTCGGCAAGGGAGTCAAGGGCATCCATTGATGCGGCTCTCGGCGGAGTCCCACAGTATCCACCATCGCTAGAGCCATCACTCTGTGTGCTGTTTATACCACCGTAGCGGCGAAGAGTGCCATTCTAAAATAACAAGACACACAGTCAATAAAATCTAGTAGAAACATCAGGCCATTCAAAGGTATGCAAATTCAATTGTATCATTAGGAAACTTATTGTTTTATTCAAGTTTTAAGTTGAGTCCACTCCATTCTTAAATTAAAAAAAAATCCCTACTACCTTTTGTGGCGCAACTTTGTTATACCTTGATAGCTATGTGAATAAATGCTAGTTATAGTCTAAGAGCGTGACCAATAATGTTTCTGTTATCACTTCCACGCAGAAATACAACCTACTGTACGAATAGTTCCATCTTTGTTGTTTGGAGACGAGACATAAACTATACTGTATTTATCTTGCATATTTCGATTGTATTTACAGATCATGATTTTATGATTCCCTCTTCTTATTTACTTTGTGAATACTACTTGTAAAATATAGACTTAGCAGTTTGAGAAAAAAATATACTGTTAAAATATATATTGTAGAATTATAAAACAAAAATGGACACATTTTTTTTATTTCTTATTTACAATTTTCCTCTAAAACAGAGCCGAGGGGGGACAATGGTAACGTGACGGAAACATGTACATTAGCTAATCTCACAGAAAATTACAAATGTACAAGATGGGTAATCGTGCAACAGGAAGGCAGGTTTATCATAATAATATTGGGGCCCTATGGCATAAGTTACCGAATGCTACGAAACCCTGTAATAATATGCCTAAAACCTCATTTTTCATAGCTTATTCAGCCTTTCAAGATTTTGTAAAGATAACGATTAATTTATATAAATGGTTTACATAAATTAATCGTTATGACATAAAACAGGTGCACTTCAGTTGCAACATTGTGTTAACAAGAAAACAAAGTGTTCGCTTCGGTTTGCGGTAGAAAAATAAAAACAGTTAAAAATAGCTGAGTGTTGAAGTGATTTCATACAGTATGGCAGGCAAATTATGAAAATAAACAATTAAGCTCCGGTTTTGAAAAATTATTAGCATTACATTGGAGATTTTACTAAAAAAATTGTAATAATTGATTTTAGTGTGTTAAGAAGTATTTATAAATATCGAATCAATTTTTAGATTGATCTAGTAACTCAGTAAGGGTGTAGTTTATACAAAGGTACGTTGTGCTTTAAAAATAAATTAAAGGAATTAAGTGTCTCACAAGGCACTATACTTGGACCATAGCCGCACTTACCTGTTGTGAAGCTACTGGTGTGGCTGAAAGTGATCGCGGTGGGGGTGGCGTTGCAGGACAAGGTCCGTTCGACCTGTCTAGACTGTTAGAAGATCCTCTTGTAGCCGCTATGAACGTGTTCGTATCCGGAGGCTGTGTAGACTTTATCCTCTTCGCTTCCTTCAAATTCTGGTAGTTCTGTTTTAAATGTGACTGTTCTAGAGGGTAGCGGAGGGAGAGCTCTTCTGGATACCTGATTCCTGTAAAGATGAAGTTTGTGATAATCAAGCCTAGCCTTGGTATTGATAATATGCAATGTTTTTATGTTTATAGCCATAAAGAGATTCCCATGGCAATAGATGTGAATATAAATCATTGGGCGTATCAGTTCTACAACACGTAATTTGCGCTTTTTGTCGACATTAAACCGACCTACACAAGAACTTTATCTGCTTGCATATTTAATTGTAATCATGACCGTCACCTGATGTAGATGAGAATACCTGAGTTGTGAGCAACGTAGTGATTACAAGGAAGTTAAATACGTTTGTTAAATAAACGATCCAAGATCTGACGATGTAATAGCTGATCATAGCTATTTGTTTTCTTAATATAGTGAATTTTTAACTAATTGTTGCCAAGGCAAAGTTAATAATGTAAATAAAAAACAGTTAACAAGAAAAGTTTCCCAAAGTTGCCCAGGACATTTATCATCTTTGTGTCTGAGTCTGGGTGTCCTTTGTGTCCGTTTCATGTATGTTTGTAAAGGATTTATTTCTAGTGCGGGAGTTGTCTATTTAAAAAAAAACAAACATTCATCAGCAGGGCATGTTGTGAACGTTAAAATAGTTGAAGTTGACACTAGGCTGTGAAGTGGTGCCGACCAAGTGTGAAAAGTCAACTGAAACTTTTCTTGCTTTCTTAACAAACACGGAGTAACGAACGAGGTGTTTTTATTACTTTGCGCGTTATTATAACTGTATTTATTATTTTCAAATGAAGCAAAGTTGTAATTATGAATATCATTATGATTTCCCTTAAAAACCTAGAGATTACATTTTACTTCTAATACGAAAACTAGAATTTACATTTAAATTATTAGGATATTATTTTGGTTTTATAGAAGAGAGCTTATAGTATAGTTAGATATTGGAGTTTTATGAACTACGCTACATAGATATAATCTTTCTCACGTCATTTTTTCTAAAAACAAAGTTATTTACAAGGATTTCAAATTATAAATACGGTGTATATTATTACACTATAGATAAGAGCCTTATAGTGTTACAAACATCCTGTTTACATAACACCTACTAGTACTGGTCGAAGCGAAAAACGGCTTTGGCTTCGTAAAATATATAGTTATAGCAAATAAGAAATTCAGAAGCTTCTTATAGCTGGTAATAAAACCAGTAATAAAGAATCTAATATTATGTTGTTATGTGCCGCAGTGTAGGGCCACCACGCCGTAGGACCGTAGCTCGTGTTTAACGAATATTTTATGAGTTGATTACGACTTTACGACCATTCAACATTTGGAAAAGATATATAGTAAGGCGATGTTCACACTACGTATAGTATACGTTCTGTAAATGTTCGTATAATTTACGATATATGTATTTATAATAGGGTAGATGACTGTCAAGTCAAATCAGTATCTTTTTTAAAACGCTAGACGAGGTACATTTTTGTATAAAATAAGTAGGTACTATTTATTGACGTCATACGTAGCTATTGTCAAATCACTTATATTTGATGTACATATCAAGATATCAAAGCAATAAAAATATTAAATTAATAATTCAGGACAATTTAGGTTCTAATTTAAGATGTTACATTTAATAATGCAGGCGACATAATTTATTTTATGCCTAGGGATCTACCTTCGTACAAATTTACTCTAGCTTATTGGCTAATGGTGCAAGAAGCTTTAGTTTTCGATAAGTTTCCTCATTGTTCCACTTGCAGGATCAAAAAGAAGAAAAATAACAAAACAAAAGTTAAATCGCTTTTATTTTTTCCATAGTCCGATTTTGTATTTTTGAATATGTCTCTGTGTCGTCAAACTAGTGTTACGTTTTTTCTGATTTATTTTTTAATAATTGTCAAAGGGTATATTTGAGGCAATTTTTATATAGTTTATCTTTGGCAGGAGAATGCCACATTTTTTGAATTAGAAATATTCGGCGTAGTTTGAACATGCCTTAATAGACATATGAAGATACTTATAGCCGTCGTAAGGCATAAAGTATCTCGTAAACGAGATAAACCGCTACAAAGTGTTAAAACATAAAAGTTTTACTATAAAATACACATTAATTTTAAATATACCTAGGTATATTCGGAGGGGTAACGCCTTAGTCGATGGTTTTGCATGAACCAACGGGGCATATGTAAGTGCATTTTATCACAAGGTATAAATACATTTAAATACAATGATACTGACCGGTTTCGATTAAAATAGGTTCAAACTAGATCAACATCCTTTTTATTATCATCATTATCCTTGTGGAATAAAACCATAGACTAGTAACTGCACTAGATATAAAGTATATTTCCTTTATGTGTAGGTATATGGAAAATACACAAAGACATAAATGTTTTCATTTTACTGTGTTTACTTATTATTATAATATCGCAGGAGGGATGAATTCGGAGTTAGTTCAATTTGCGATTTTCTGTAACGGCGTTGAAAATCTGTTCGTCTAAAGTATTTAAGTTATCAATTATAATTAATTTAAACGACTTATCAGAATTAATAATTTAAGAATAAATTCGTCGGTCCTATCGTTTCATTTTTGGTTTGTGGCAGGCGAAAGTGATGGTTAGAGGAACAATACTTACCAAGGCTTTTACATAGCTGTACCACGGCACTGAAGGTGTCAATAGAGAAGTCAACTTTGCAATCAATGTATCTCAGATCCGGCAGCTGAATCCTGAGCGGTTTGTGCATGGGTGTGAAGTGTAAGGCTGCGTCAGCATGGACACCATACTGGTCAAGGGTGTGCTTTGGACGGGACAGCCATTTGTTTCGGGTAGGCCACCAGAGTGCATGGTCTGACCAGTCCTTTTTGAACTCTGTAAAAAGGAAAAGGTATTTATTAACATTTTTGATCGATGCACATACTATTAGGAGGTGCTTTTCTGCTTTATTTTTTACATTTCTATCACTAAAGTGAAAAAAATTAGTGTTGTTTTCATTAACAAGATTTTTTTATTTGTCTGTTAGGACGTTCTCAAACGTTGAACATAAGCGTACCATATAGACGAAAAAAAAAAGAACGCCTGCAAAGATTTTATCTAGTTCATTACAATGTTCAGTGTTCTCTATTAATTCTGGATGTAATAATTGGACGAACTAAGTACATATATACCAAAGACAAAATTTGAAGATTTCTGAGCTTAATCTAGCCTATAGATTTTATTTATGTATAAAATGAAAACTTGTTATAAAATACGAGAACATGTCAAGAAGAGTTCTAAGGATGATCGACAGAAAGATGCTATAATTACGGTATTGACAAAGGTGCATAAACAGGCACTAACTATTTCATTTTATATTTAATTAAGAAAATAGCAACAAGATGAGCAATAAGCGCAACATTAAGACTCTTAGTTGACAAGACCAAAAAATCATAATCCGGTGAACGAACTTATCAAACATCTAAAAAAAAGGGAATGGTAGTTTGACGTCAGCACACTGTGGGATGAACTCAAACATTGTAGAGCTTCTTGTAAGTATCCCTTACTCATACCAAGGAAAGTGCAGGGTGGGTCAAATTAAACTGGTCTCCTCTAGTCGTGAGGATTTTGTTTTGCTTCCGTTGAACTGTGAGTCACAGCTTAGCTGGTAAGGGATAATACCAGAACAAACCTTAACATCTAATTGTCGTGACTCATAGAAAAACTGATAGATACAAATTTAAGGTGTGTACAACGGCGATTGTCGGTTCAATGGACCGTTTCACTTCGTATTGTCTGTTGAATGTGTTGAAGCGTTGAGCTAACGATTCATTGTTGGGGAAAAAATAATAAAGTTATTTTATTATACTGAAGCTTTTTGGAACGAAGTGAATTTGAAAAATGTGTAACAAGACCTTTTTCCGACACTTCACTTGACGCGTCGACGCTCACATCATTTTCATATTTCATATATAGCAAACGTCTATCAAAAAGCGAAGGAACTTCGTTCCGACTATGAGTCCATAGACTCCTCACGCCGTTTTTTGACAAAAACGATTGTTGTTAATGTTCAGTTTGTCATTAGAAACTACGTTAAACATTTTTTACTCACATCTAACCGGAAAAAAGGACATTAGTATCAACAAAAAACACAGGTCAAAATCTGAATCATTAGCTTCTTGAGCATTTAACTCGTTTTGTAACTAGTAAACTTTGATTAATGTAATTTTAATTGCTTTATAATGATACATTCTTATGATAAGAATTACAATACTGATAACAATTGCAGTTACATTTTCGGAAAATACCGCTGATCTGGCAATACCTGCCACGTTGTAGTGCCGTGCATTGATGAGAAAAAAGGAACAAAACTGGCGTGATTAATACATAAAAACCATCTGTGCGTTCAACCAAGTAGGATGTATATCGTGTCAAAATTTGATTTCAACCGGTGCAGAGCTTTTAGAGTTTTTGAAGCGTACACAAACCAACTTAACATTTATATATATACATAGATATAGATATACGACTTATGAGATGCACAAAATAAATGTCACTTGTTTTTGAAATAGAATTAAATACATACATTTGTAGTTATCTTTTAGATATTTTTCGTCGTACATGATAATATTGATACCAATATTATTTAAGAATCTAGAACAACATATTTACAAACATGATGAGTATTGCTTCAGTAGCTATAAATAAAATTGTTACGGACAAATATTGGTCTGTTTGTGTCAAGGTTTGAGAGCAGACATGATGTCATTTCAAAGAGAACGAAAGATGAATGCCACGTTTAAAAATAGAATATAATAATGTAATTAATTAAACAAAAAAATATAAACTAACTTGCAAACAAAATAACATTTTGGTACAGGGACTATTGACTCATAAAATCACTGTTATATAGTACTAGGTAAAACGTGACAGACGAGATTCACGTTTTTCTACAGTGAACCAATGTCGGTGACGTCACCGAGTCAATCATTAATTATATCGGTTTGTACACCGAAGCCCGCATACCCCGTTGTATACATGAGTCATTCGACTCACAATATCAAAATGGTAAACGTGTGCATCTGTAAAATTATATATTGTATTACTTACATTGTCTGATGATTGATTTAGTGACACAATACTTATATAAAATAGTCACTTGCACAAGAAGCACCGTATTTCTTGCACTAAGTTTATTTACTAGTTGCGCTAAACTTAAAATCGAGTACCTAAAGTGTCTTCTTAATATTTGCGTCTTTTCTTAAGCTATGTCTTTTAAAAGCTCATCAAATAATACATTGTGCATCTATCATCACCTCCTTTCTAAGGAGAGGCCTATGTCCAGCAGTGGACTAGTAAATTCTGTTGATGATGATGATGATGATCTATCGATTTAAAACTGTGCATTAAAATTGATACTAGTAACTTGTAAGTTATTATTAAGCCCTTGTAACTGTTAAAGGAGCTATTAAATTTTAATATGAAAGTTATTTAGTCAGAGATTTCTCAATGTGGGTCGAGAGCAGCAGGAGGTGATGACGACATGGTAGATTTATCCTCGAATTGGATTATTAAAGTCTCTTAAGAAGGCTACCTAATGTGTTTATTTGATAAATATGTGGTTTGAAAAAATTGCAAAACTTTATCATTGACCACAGTACCTAAACTATTCGAAAACATTTCTATAAAATAAACACCAAAAGCTGTTGTTCATAGACAAGATGTCGACACGCAAAGTTCTCTTTCAATTACAATTCTTTGTTTTAGTCTCCTTGCGGTACATGTAAGTTATACCATGATCACACAAGCTTCATCATTATCGCTGTGTAAACACATTACTAGTAACAATGCACATAGATAGCAGGTTTGACTCCTGCGGCGTCTCTGACCATATTCGCCATCGGATAAGTTGGAGAGACGCGTTTGGTTTTCACCGCTTTCGTAATTTTAGCATCCTGGTCACGTAGTTAGATTTCTTACCTCAGAAACACTTTGGGATTCTAAAATTCCTTTGTTGGTAATATGTTTTTTAGCGTGAAGAAACTTGTACGTCAGGACTGTATGTACTATAAGAAGTACTGAGAGTCGTCACACAGGGAGAACTAGACGCTCTAAAGACGAGTCTGTTGCAATTTTATCAATGTGGTGTTTACAAAATGAGATATTCCAGTAAGATAGTGTAGCCGATAGCTACACAACGTTCAAGGTAACATTATTAAATACAGCAATCTATCGTGTAATTGTATCAAAATATTTTAATGATCACTTATTTAATCGTATTCATGCTCAACTGTCCAAGGCTCTTAAAGATCAATTAATTATTCCTGCTGTTACTCGTGCTGCACCTTATACGGTAGATTGTGGTCAATGTGGTAGCGCTGGTACTGCACCTTATTAGACACAAATCGAGTTGTTTGTATATGCGTATTTAATTCTTTACAAAAAAAAATGTTTGTCAGAATATCTAAGAAAATCAAGTAATTGAAACAATAGCTAATTTGCAACGTTGAGTGTTGTAACACACAATTTAACGCAGTTCTTTAACACATTGTTTCGTAAGTCACCCTACTAATTGGATAGTTATTCTCAACGTTATCGACAGTTATGTGGGACAAGATAGTTTATTTCTGGCGGCAGACAGTTTCTGCGCCAGCGTCTCGACATTATGTGTTGATGACAGCTCAGTGCAACTAAATATTGATGGGTGCATGCGCGCGCTCGAAGAAAGGAGATAACGAACTATTGAATAACACAGTCGTAGCAGAAGTAATTTAAGCGAAAGTGATTCTGTAAACTAGTAACAAACAGATAGGATTGGTGTAGCCGTTAAAATATTTGCCAAGTAGGGGTAGTATTACAACTTATTACAATTTAATTTTAGGAATGTTGAAATTTACAAAACTTTTGTTTACCAACGATGGTGTTGTGGCGTAATGAGGATATAACATTAAAGTTATTAGGATTTCAAAATTGCCTTTAGTTAACTCGTAAGAGGAATTTAAGAACCTTTGAACAACTGTTATTAAGTAACAGAACATAAAAAAAGTGGTTTAAAATTTACAAATGTTCAAAGCGGATACAGATAGATTAGCTGTCATAAATGAGAAATTAGTGACGGACCATAACGAACAGTCATGAAAAGTAATGATTCGGATGTGAGGTTAAACTGATGTTAAAGACATTAAGACAGGTGTAAAAACTGTACGTAAACCAAATACACTGATCATTGTGATTTTTTTATTATATTAAATAAAATTATCATATCCAAGGAACGTTGCTATAAAGTTTTAAATATTTACCGTCCAACATTTCAACGTCTACTATGCTAATATATAATGATATACACAATTATTAGTGCGAGCTCAGTGCTGTGTAAGTTAAAAAATTAGGTTTATAGGTCCAGAAATACAGTATATATTAATAGGAATGTAGGCCGCCTCGCCAATTTTATAGCCAATACTTCAGTGGACTACTTGCGATTATAATTCTTTGAAGTATTGCTTGCAGTAAACAAATGTATGAACAAATATAAGTTAACTATTTAGAACAAAGCCGAATCTAAGCCAACAGGAAGTTTGCATCCATTTAAACTAGGCCACTGGATAGTCACACTAATAGCATAAATGCGAATTCATTTGAACTATTATTGCGTACATTAAATCGTGCACTTACGCATACCAACCAAATCTATCCCCGGCTTAATGGGTACAAGTTTACTAAAAACAGTGTACAAGCAAACATAAAACAGGCCAAGTGATTATGCTAACCGTTATCTTCACAAATAGTAAATAAATCAAAAGCCTCGTAAAACAAACACGGAGCAAACAGACGGACGTGCGCGTACCGCGGGATGTTGCGTATATTTTTAAACCTTTACTTTGGTATTTCTTTCTTGTCTCCATAATATCATGTTAAATATCTACCTTATACAGTATCAGAAAAAGTATCTTTAGTCTTATTTATTATTCTTTTTATAGAGCATGTAATAAATAATACACGAAGCCTATAAATCAGATGACACTTATTGAAGAATACCATTTTATCGGGAAAAGGTCTTCGTCATACTGTCTCCGTATGATCTATGGGTCGGGTTTACCTAAGACATGCAAAGATCCGCTTTGTGATTATGGCAACGGGTTGTTCTTATTCTAATCGTTAAACGACTTATGTTTCGTAACAGGATTTCATTTTGAGCTGTATTGCGTTGTCGAAAGAGTTTGTTTCCATGGTTTGAGAAGCTTTACGTCTAAAGATGTTTTTTGTTTGTGTACCATACACCGCTACTGTTGCTTAATGGATGAAGTGTAGTTTACATGTTTGATGAATATAAATGGCTTTTGTGCTGTTCCCCATAGTAAACACGATCCTAGTAAAATAAGCAGGTGGGGCAATATCCAGGAGTCAACTATAATATAGTAAATCATCGAAAACTACAACTGAGCTTGTTTTAAATAACGATAATAAAAATCTTTTTATCTTTTCTTCAAAAGTTTAAATTAAAGTTTAGCATCAAATATAAATAAGAAGGAAAACGACACATTTATGTACCTCCTTTGGTTATGAATTTGAAGAATATCGAAGTTGTATTAAGAGGTAAAAAGACCATCAAAGATATGTTGGTATGTGTTTGTAGGATTCCGCACCTATCCTTATAAGTTAAGAAGGTATAGGTGACATAATCAACGTCGTAGAGCGACGTAGGCGAACGCCCTGTCCCCGCCCACTGCTTCCGTCGCGGAGGTGGCCTCAAAGCACCTGATTGTTATGAAGCAATACGAAAACAGGGTAAGGTTTAGCTATGTACTGGGACTAATGATTGCACAATGGGGCTAATGTGCAATTATCAAACGAATCAGATGCTAAGCAAGATTTTAATATTTGTGAACGACAGACATTAAATACAATTAATAGTGAAAGGTAATTACATTAGAAAGGGAACCTCATAACCCACAATTTAATGGTTATGATTGTTTATGATTGATTGATGAAACGTTGTTTGTTTCTATAAAGATACAAAAACGCTAATGCATTCTATTTTAATTTGTGTCGGTTACCGTATCTATGGCAGAGAAAGGTGGAAGCATTGCTATTATCATGACAGTTTAGAAGGAAATGATAGCCAATTATTATAACGCAACTACAATCTGCCCGTTTGGCGTAGGCGTGCAATGACTGCAAGTATGGCGTAGTGGTTTAAGCGGTCACCTCGCCGGTTACTACTACACTGAGTGTTGTGGGTCCGATCCCCACATAGGACAACACTTTGTGTGATCTACAAATTGTTGTTCTGAGTCTGTGTGTTCTTTGTGTCTGTTACATGTATGTTTGTAAATTCCCCCGCGACACATGATTATATTCCTAATGCGGGAGTTGTCTTTTAATCAAAAACAAAAAAGAATCATATTGACTTTATTTTAGCATTAATTTAGTTGCGGCAAAGTACAGGTTAGTTTCCAAATAATTATGTGTTTAAAGATAATAATTAAAATAAAGTTATTTTCTTTAAAAGGCTATAACATCGTTCGCACGAAAAACGCACAAGGAAGTGGTTGTCCAGGATCAATTTGCCAATCTAACGGACGATTCTATTTAAATTCCAACGGCAATCTTACTGGTTGACTTT